ATGTATATATTACCATACAAGAACGAGATACCCTAATTGTCTTGGAACATATAATTTTATTCAAGTTGTATACTGTGGTAGGATATTTTTAGGTTCCCTAGAAATTAACAATTCGTCATAAATTTTAAAATCATGGTATCAAAAAAATTTTTTGGCCATGAAAGACTTGTCATGAAAAAAAAATATTGAGTCTTCACTTTTGGCTATAAATACAAATCTGCTTGATTTAGTATTTTTAAATTAAAAATTTTTGTAATAATGAAAACATCATTGATACGATATTCTGCAGGTACACTAAACAAAATATTGCAATAAAAAATTATATTTGATCATTATAAAAAGGTCGACTTTGTTTTAGTTCTGATTGAATCGGCAAGTTGAATTTTTATGAGTATCAAGAGTATCGATTAAAAAAAAAAAAGTACTGATGTATTGACAATAACTCTCTCGGAAAATCCAAAAAAAATACCATTATCAAATAACACAAATTTCTGCCATTAAAAACTGATTTTACATCTGCACAAAATACCCGAATATTAATCCATAGTTAAAACCTTAATTACAATCAACAATGACAACAAAATACAACAAAACAAATTGAAAGTATTATAAGCTTCCTATTTTACTACCAATTTGAATTACAAATTCGTCATAATTCACCAGCTTAAGAACAATTACCATCGAGTAATTAATCTACCCGCTCAAACAATACACCAATTTACACCTTACAACAACTGAAATATCACCATAATACCTAAAATATTCACTATTAATAATTCCCTTTGAATAAAGCGACAACGATAACAATTAAACATTACTCTTGCATTAAAAGGCCGCGATTGTAAATTTCGCCCAATCCGTACCAACAAATATATATATATATATAAAAAAATAAATAAATCCACCAAGTATTATCTTTAATCGTCGCACTCTTTATCTATTTCTCTTTCCATTAATTTATTCTCTTTTACATGCACGCAGGAATCCTAAAGCTATCCTGGTGAATTTCAGAGAGTGAGAACCAGCCAAATTTAAATGCTAATTTCACAAAATGCAAATCTCCGTTTTATTCCTTCTCTTTCCATTACATATATATATTTTATTTTAATTTGTTTTGTTTTGTTTTCATGCTAGTTGAACTTTGTCCTTTCTCAACAAGCTTCTAATCAAAAGATCCTATTTCTTCCTTAATCTCCCGTACCCCATTCGCATAATACTTTTCTAGGTTTTATATTATGTGCTATTTGTTTGTTTAATTTCTTCTTTTCTTCCTCTTCTCCAATTTTTTTTTTTTTTTTCAAGTCGTTTTCAGATTCTTGTTTTTACTTTTTTCGTTTTGATCTCAATGGCATTTCTTTTTATTTATTTACCTTTTTTATTTTTTATTATGTTCCTTCACTTTTTTTCGTGAGTACTAACCCGGCATACATATAGATATATTGCGAAGTGGCGAATGGTGAAGAGTTGAAAAAAGTAGTGGGTACTTAAAAACCGGAATTACGCTTGCGGTATGATATATATTCAGTTTGAGAGCACCTTTTTATTGCCCTGAGATTTAAGTCTCTGTTTACCTTGCATTTGCAAGGATACAATGATAATAGTATTAATAATAACAACAATAGTAATAATTATTATTATTATCAGTGCTATGGACAAAGATTAAATTGTTTTTTAAAATTTAAAATAAATAAAATTAAGGGAGATATTTTTTATAACTAAACTCAAGTGAATATTCAGTGGAAAAAGTGTGTGCACAATGTTTGGATTATATGAGTTGAATTAATGTATGTATAGACATACAGAAGGGCAAAAAGAGGTCATGGCACGACGACCCTCTGACCTTAATCTCTTTTTGCAACTCAGGTATATATGTGAATGTATATGTATATAAATATGTAAGGGGAATAAGTTATATAGTTGTGTGTATTCTGTAGTGAACACACCTCTGTATCCTCTCATCGCGTTTCTTCGGTATCCAGAGGATTTCAAGATTCCTAGTATGTCGGTCTTTACTCTATTATATCATTCTTGTTATCCAGGTATTCCCGATGGTATCCGCAACAAGTGTAACTCCTTGTTATATAACTTTTTCTCATTACTACTAACAGTATTATTATCATTGTTATCTTAACTATCATTATTGTTAGTTATGTTGCTGTTTTCATGTCTTGTAGTCAATTAACTGTTTTAACAAAAAAAATTATAATAATATAATTTTATTGCACATATCAGAATACAACTCTCAAAGCAATTGGGATAGAGTTCGAATTGGAGCGTTTAAACAAAATTAAACTATATTATATATATATATATATATATATATATATATATATAAGCACAATTTCTCTGAGTATTTTCATTCTAAATTCATTATTGTTGCTCATAGTAATTATTATAAATAACAATAATAATAAAAGGATTCGGAGTTGGTCTAGCTTATTTTAAAAATAATAATAATAAAAAAATTACTTACTAATTTAAATCCAAATTATATTATTCATAAGAATGATAAATAATGTCAAAGATAAAATTGACCGCCGATGTCGATAGAAAAAACTAAAGTTCTCTATCAATAAATATTTATATAATTAAGCCAAGTATTTTTAGTTTATTGAATAGCTGAATCTTTAAATAAATAAATGTATAATAACACAGAAAACTATTTAAATGACTTTTTCAGTTTAAAAACAACCACGGTAGGTAAGTTTTAAAAAGTTTAATTATGACTACTAAGAGTTTGATGCCTGATAAATAAATAACATTTTTATTTTATTATCATAAATTTCCTCTCAGTAAAAGCTTTTTAAGCCAATAAAATATAAATTGTTATCACGAATCATTCTTATCAAATACAAAGTATCAGACATTACTCAAAGATAACATCGATACTCGTAAAAAATCGAAGCATATACATTTAACGATTTAATTGTATTGACTGACAAGGGAGATAGCTGTGAAATTCAGTAAAAATTTAGCTGAGGGCAGGGAGTATGTGGGCATAATACAGAATGGAAGGCAGACAGGATTGCGGCAGGTCCGGGAGGAGAGAAATTACAACAACGGAATTCCTTACGTGACGTACGTAACTCAACTCTATTCTGGGCACATAATATACGTACATGTGTCTGCGGATAATAGAGTGATATGATATGATGAGATGTTGAAAGTACATCATTTCTCAGCTCTCATGTATCCCTCACTTATATCTTTTCGTACATGTATCTTTTGCTTAATTGACACAAATTTTTTTTTTTTCTTATTATGTCCCCTCTTCATTTAATTATTCATTTATTTACTCCTCCCTTGAATAATGAGATTATTTTTCCACACACAATTCAATCAAATTATGTTAAAAATTCTTGATAATTAAATTGAGTCCATTAAGCCGCCAATTTTATATTTTTAGTTTTATATGCCTACGGCAGTTCAAGTCTAATATTTAAATTTATTAATACGAGGAATTTTATGAAGAATCTTATAAATCTTCAGGAGCTTTAATGGTATTTTATCAAGCTTGTACGAGACACGAGTACGAGGCTAGTAAAAGTACATCGTTCTACACTAGCTCTGTGAAAAAAATTCATGATGAATTCCTCAGAGATTCTTACATGCAAGTATTCAATTTAGTTTGCGACATCATAAACTCAGTTGTCTTTTTTTTTAATTCTTGAAGATTAAATGAAGATGCAATAAAAAAAAGTCAAAAATTCTGAACTTATCCGTGAAAAATTTTTCCATATGGCTTAATATGTCCATATGTGGGAGGACATTTTCATATATAATTTTTTACATGTCTATATCTCGTCTGATACAGTCATATATATTTACAAATTACTTTTGATCAAAAGTAGTATTACAAAACTCCGACAGGTGGCGCAGAACCACTGAGTCGTCTCGCTTCAAGAGAGGTAAGTTTCAGAAATTAAGTTATAAAATGAAAATCATTCTTTCACTTTTAGAAAAATCTTATCTGACACTGTTTGCTAATTACATTTGTTAAATTGTGTCTGTAAATGTGATAATATGCGTGAAGCTACTTTAACATAAAGTAATTAACACGAAGGAAATTATTTTTGTGATTTTTGTTAAGAATTAACAACGAAGATTTCTTAAAAAAATCAAATATTTATTTTATTAAAAATAAGGTTAAATTTGAGTTTTTCAGATTGGAAGATAGCAGAAACTGTGGAAATGACTTCGTTGAGGTGAAAGAAATAGATATTGATGGAAAGTCAAAGGTTATTGGTCGATTTTGTGGAAATAGAAGTCCGTGGGAGTTGAACCTACGGGTTAACAAAGCTTCAATACAGTTTGTAAGCGATGTCGCTAATGACGAGGCTGGTTTTTCTGCTATGGTTACAGCGGAACCAATAGTATTACCCCAATTTCGTGGGTAATTTGTGAAGAAATTTTAAGTTAATAATTAAACGATACTATTGCAGAATGGGTTAAGCTTAATTTATTAAACGAAGAGATGTCAATTCAATAGAAATTGTCAATATTAATGAATTCAATTGTGTTGTTTGAACAGTTGAGTTTTTTTTTTTTTTTTAATAGATGCATTTTTTAAATTTATTAAGATTAAAATGGGAGTGGTGTAATTGAAATTATTTCAATAAATTTAATAATAGATGAGTAACTAAGAAGCAATAAAATAATTGAAAATAACAAAACTTGAATAATGATTTATGATTTATTAAAATAAGTTAATTTAAATTTTTTAAAAATTGAAATTAAAATTATTTCATGTAGAATTAGAAGAAATATATTCATTGTAAAAATAAGTCCAAAAATACTGAGAGCGCCGTCGCGGTAATTTTTTGAATTTAAATTTTCCCGCAGTTTTTAAACTTCCGCGCCATCTCTCGACTTCAAAGCCAACCAAGTCTCTGAGTTGCGCACAACAAGACAAGTATGTACGAATTGTATACCTGTGTGTGTAAATGTAAATACATAGATTTATTTTTATTTTGACTGCGCACTACCACTTTGTTGCGTTTCTCTCACACTGTCGACACGACACATGTATAAAATATACATGCACGATGTACATTCAAGCAATACTTCCCACATTGTACATAAGTGTGTACAATACAAGTCATCTACTGTAACTCAGACTCAGAGCCAGCCAACAGTTTTAAATTCAGTACAATGTGAGACGCCGTTAAGTGTCGTTGTATTTGAATTACTCACTTGAGATTTAAAAATACTCACCTATCTACAGAACCATTGTTTACTTTTTAATTAGTACGTACATTTCGATTTAATTTATTCACGTTTAATTACATAAATTTTCAATTAATGGCAGGTAGTAATATTTAATCATCTTCATCAAATTATTTCTATTATGCACTCAGTGAGATTGTGACTGTGGAGTATCGTAATTAGTGATTGAATCTGTGCAATGTGGTTTTACTTTTATTTAGATTGGATTACCCGTTAATTCCAGATGCAGTAAGTTACTTTAATCATTAATTAATAATATTTACGATTAAATATATGTTGGTAGAAAGTTTTTTAGCAGTAAGTACAATTATTAGTATAGTATATTGGAGCAAAGAGTCTGGATGAGATGGGATAGAAGCTTTTAACGGGTTCTTTACAACCGAGTGAGCGCAATACAAGATTTAATACAGTAATAAAACTCAAACTATTGGTATGCTACATAGACACAACATGTGTGGTACGGATACTGACACACACAGGCGGCTATTAACTCTGACCACTTGTCAAACAGGTTTTATTCTCTCCACTCATTATATGCATGTACATGTTTTACGTGTATTTTGAGTATGCTACTTTTTTCAACGTGCTCTTGTTTTATTTTTCACCAAAATTTTCATCGCAATATCATATCATATACTGTATATCTGACAAGAGATAAGACCAATCTTTTTAAAGATTTTTTTATCTCTGATTCTTATCTAGGTTCCCGATTTCAGGTTTATCTGGAGAATTTCTTTATCGAAGAAATATTTTTGAGAAAATTCTGTCGGATGTTTTATTTGGGAAGAAGATTTAAAATTGATGAGTAGTCAAGAAAAAATTTTCTTGCTCATAGATATATATTTTTGAACAGTTGTTGTTTAGTTCAAACGGTGTAGGTTGTTCGTGCGCATGAATAACTACCAAATTTTATTATTAAATACTGGTGCTTATATTATGTAATAATTTTTTGTGACCTTACACAAAGTGGCTCCAAAATTCTGGGTTTTTCTTATTTACATGATAATATATAAAATTTAAAAGTATTACTAAACAGTGGTTGTGTTGAAATTTTGTTTAAAATATTTCATTCGTGGAAATATTCATTTTTTTAATGACATACTTGGCTGGAAAGAAATGTTTGAGTTGTAATTAAATTTTATAAGCGACAATTACTTATTTATTTCAAAGAACGCATTCATTCTTACTGGATTGGTATAGTAACTTCATTTAGGTTTTTTGATAACTAAGAAAATATTTTTAATTCAATAATAATTTTGAATTGTTATTATTATTTACTGTAATAATAACAATTGTTATAACATGTTCAATGTAGTAAGAGAATCAGTAGAGTATGAAAGTATGAGGGTTACAAGTGTGTCATGTGAAGACTAAAACTGTCCACTTTAGGGCTTCCTGTCGACTTAAATTAATGATACTGTTTTTAAAAATATTTTTTATTTTTAATTACTGTTAGTTAATTTTTTTTTTCATAATAAATTTTTGAATGACATTAATAATTACATTCGCTGTTAGTAAAACTCTATTGTCTTGAATGCAATTATCTTATTGTTATTTACATAACGCCAAGGTCATTCTTTTTTCAATTAATTAGTCTAGTTTTTCACAATTAGGGCAAGCTGAAAAAAAAAAAAAGTTACTGTAATAAGTAAGAGGTCCAAAGACACCTCATATATGTTACACAGCCGTTTCTCAAAAAAATATCAAAATTTATCATTAGTTTTTTTTTTTTTTTTTTTTTTTTTTTTTTTTTTTTTTTAAGCTAAGGAAATTAAATTTCCGTTCATAACATTAACAGCTCTCTCCAAACACAAGATCATTAATCAAAAATCAGAAAAGATCGTTTAATATTTTATTTATTCAATGATTGAATTCGATCAGTTTTGTGAGTCGGAGAATTTAAATCAATATAATTTTATTGCCGCTACATTAATTATCATTAAAAAAATAACGCTGACAGCAATTCAGAGTGAGCAAGGACGAAAAAAGGCTGAGAGAGGGTATAACATTTATAATATAATCCATACTGCTAAGTAACTCTTAGCTTCATCTAACGTACGGTGTTACGTCATTAATAGTGTTTTATGTCAATTATAATCGGCAGTAATGCTGATATGAGTTTGTGAATGTATACACATATGTATTAATGCAGTACTTGTACACGTACTCTCTTTACTTATGTTATTCTTCGGCTAACTGGTAACGCACACTCATTCTATCACGAATTTTAGTTGTTATAACCTTTGTACCACTTTGTATACTTGTTACCAACTATGTTATTTTATTCTAATTATTTTATTTTCTTCGTAATAATTATGATGAATTATTATTTTTCATGTAATTATAATCACATTACTTTTAATTCATGAGATTTAAAAATCATTGTGTAATATTTCATTTTCAATTTTTGGATTCTAAAAATTTCTTTAAGTCTATTAGACTGATTTGTTGTAAATTTTTAAAAAATATTACACCAAATTTTTCGCTAATTTCCAAAACAAAAAAAGTAAAATGTATTTTTACTTTAAAAATTTTTTTTAATTTCTATTTTTTCAATCATCGACCACAAAAAATTTCACTGAGTTATTATTTAAATTTTTATTTTCGCATGAAATAATTTTTTCTATAAAATAGAAACCACTCGAAGCTTTAAAATAAGTTTATTCAATAATCCAAGCGCATAATTTTGAACCCGAGTAAAAGTGTATGTACCTCAAAAACCAATAAAATTTTTTAGCAGTGACTCGCGGTTGGTTTTTATTATTCATTAAAGAAAATAGCCAGTTGTAAAAAGTACAAAGAACAATAAAATGCATATAATAAATATTCCTTATTATGTCGATAAATTAAAAAGAATATTTACCGATCAGCACAAAGAATTCGCGGTTTGAAACGGTAAATGTTAATTTTCTTTCATTTCATTTTATTCTTTTATTCAATGATAAAATAAAACTACAGGTACAAGGTATAACAAGTGTATGGATATGTATATTTATATTTATATTTATCGCTAACCGTTCACAACGTGAAAATATTCATTGAGACATCGCATACGTATATGTAAACGGCCTTGTCGTATTGCATTTAAATAGCCTTCTTATTTTTATTTACTGAAAAATCTCTCATGTTAACGCACTCATATCTGGCCTCATTTTTCATCTTTCAGAAAAATAAATTATTTAAATAAAAACTAGCAATTATGTGATTTAATGAGAGTTGCAAAAACAGTAAAATCTGTAACAAAAAAACGTCACCAAGTGTTGATAATTTTTTCTTGGTCCACATGCACCGGAAGTGATTCACTCGCTCATTTACTCACTCACCAGTTTTTTACTTAAGCACGCGAGTTAATTCAGCTGTTCAAAACATTCAAATTAGTCATTTCAATAAATAGATTGTTAATTACTTGAAAAGTCTTTAAACTCTACTTTTATGAGCTTTCTGAATCCAGACAAGATTATAAACATTGTTTAGAGTATCAAAGTATCAGAAGTACTTTACCTGTGGAAAATTTTTTTGATACAGATAATTTTCATATCAGTCTATATATTAGAATAATAAATAAATTGTAATAATTTTTGATTTTTATATATTTTATAGACAATATGTACATCAATTATCATGTTTTATCAGACATAAGTTGATTTAGTAGTTGATTGAATTCAAAACAATGTCTGAAAAGCCTCTTAGGAGAGTAGAAAAAAAAATTACATATATTTTAGAATTTAACTCTTTAATAAGGAGAAGATTTAGCGATCATGCGCCATCTATTGAAAATTTTTAGTAGACAGAATATATCAGAAAATTTTGTCATGGGTATCCATGAAAATGGCTCATGTTAAAAGAGCTTGTTTTTTTTGGAAAATAACTTATAACAGTAATAAAAAAAAATGTACTGCATTACAAATTTGAATTTTTGGTATTTTTGCATAAATAATAAAGCAAAAAGTTAGCCTCTCACTTTTTTTTTTTTTATTTATTTGTTGAAATATTCTTACTTGAAAAGTAATAACTTAATAAAATTTAAATAAAAAAATTTACAACCTACAGGGTCGCAAGTATTTGAATTATTTCAAATCAATTGAACTGTTGCTGAAATGCGAAGTTTTTCCTTCTTAAATTAATAAAACAATTCTTAAAAATTAATTACATGAAGTATGATTTGTTTCATACATATTGATTATGTAAATTTATATTTATTATTGATGATCAATTAGACACATTTTTAGACTCTGATTTTTGGTTGCTCTATTCATTTTATTTATTATTAATCACATAGTATTTTACTTATTATTGTGTTTTTGAGAGTTTCAAATTTGAATAAATATCGCAACTCATCAGTTGATTAATTAATTTAACTAAAATACTCCTAATAGCCGTCCTTAATCATGTTACTTATATCAATTGAATTTACTTGGAAGTGATCTGAGCCTAAAAAATAAAAGCAAAAAAAAATGTTGCGCTCTTTAAAATATTTTCTAGTAAAATAATAACTCAGCCTTGGAGTAAAACCAGAGGATGATAAAAGTACAGCAAAATCTTGGCTCTAAAATGTATATCGATCGTAAAAACTATTTCTGTGCATTTCAGTGTATGCACGAGACCTCAGTAGAGTACAAAGCAAATCTGATTTGCACTTACTGCTCTTACTGCTACTGTATTTGTGTTGGAACAGAAAACATAGTATTGCATTTAACGTTTAGCATTCATATTATTCCATGCTTTGCACTAAAATAAATACTGATATATGCTTATTCATGTGTTACTTTACACTCCCTATGTTATGTGATCCTTCATACACATAATATATATACATAAATATAAATATACGTAACACAGTAGAAAACGATACGCAAAGAAATATTGCAGGTATGAAATTACGTTGGCAAAAGTATTCGAACTCAAATAGCTTGGAGCGAAAAAAAATGAGGTTACTTTAATTTACAAAATATTATCATAATTTTCTTTTGAGTAGAGCAAATTAAATTAACAATTACAAGTAAAGCATTGAGTAGTGATTTCAATTAATGTTAAAGCGCGTAGCAAAGTATCGACTTGGCGAAGAAAAATAAAAAAAACTCTATGACAAGTTTAAACTTCGTAGAATTTATCTGACGAATCCACCGGATAACAAAAGTCCCAACATATGTAATGCGTATAATGTCACGTATGAAAGTTGGATCGTGTAATATTTGTATTGTATGGTTTGTATTAGACTTGGCTAGTGGTTGCCGCGGAAGTGTAATTTCTCGAGGCCGCAACAAAGTTCTTTACTTTTGTTCCGTACAATATTACCATTAATATACAGGCTTGGGTTATTTATTGCTTTGTTTCTGTACTCATGTGGGATGAGTATCTATGTTAATAATATGCACATTAGAGAGAGGGTTGACTTAGTAGGAATTTTTTAAATATTTACCTAGAAATCTAGTCATCGTAACGTTAAACTAGTTATTAATGAAATATGAATCATACAGCTATGAATAGATTTTTTTTTAAGTCTAGGTAAATTTTTACCTTAAGAAGTTACAACTCGCGGAAAATTTTTTGATAGGGCCTTATTAGAACATATATGGTTACATCATGACTTATCTGGCTTAATATGACTTGTTATGTCCTGGCATGACTTAAAGTGCCCATACGTGGGCTAATATGGTGAAATATAATTTTTCGACCAAAAAAAGTGTTGAAAATTTTCGATAGGTGGAGTATGACTGCTGAATCGTTTCGCCACAAGAGAGTTAAGTTTGAAGGATTAAGTTTTAAAATAATAATTCTTTTTTTTACTCTTCCGGGGAACTTCCTTGCTATTAATTTTAAGTTTAATTGATTACTACACTAATTTTTGTTTTATTAAATACATTAATTGAAATACACATTTATAGAAAAATCTAAAAACTGGTTTTAAAAAGTTCAATTAATAACTTTTTCACTTATTATTTGAGTGTTGAAGCAGTTTGTACGAGTGTTAAAGAAAGGTACAACCATTAAAAGTCAATATTTAGTTGAAGATTAATATAATTTTTCTCTCATTTTCTTCGACACTATAAAAAACAACAAAATGTAATGATTATTTCTCACATTTCCCTTGTAATAAGAACGTCATCATATTATCTATCATAGTATCTATCGTCGACAGTCAACTGGATAATTTTTCATTACATGTTACTCTCACAGACATACCCGTATTCACACTAACTACTACTACACATGTAATACATACATGCGTATCATGTTTGATGTACAGTATATTATATTATAGAGATTAATAAGCATGAGACTACGCTTTAATGTTATCTGGCCTCAATCAACTCTCTTAATCGCGAACTTTAGTGTCACGTTTTAACTGACGACATTTCTTTTATCAAAGCCTTAGCCTATTTCAAAACTAGTTTACTTTATTAGTACATAGTAAATTTGCTAACTTGCTATAAATATTTATTTTTCCAAGTAGTCAGTACCTAAATATTTAAAAAATTATTACACTTTTTAATTTAAAAATCTTATTATAATATTGGATTTGATTAAATTTTTATTTTTTATTGATGTTTATTAAAAATTGAAATTTTTTATGCACGGATATTTTTATACTTTTAAAAAAATAAACTGCTTTAACTTGCAAAAATTTTACTAAAAAACTGATAAATTTAATTATAATTCCAGCGGAAAGTTTTTATTTTGTAAAACAAAGTTATTAGCATTATTTACAAAAGTAATCAGTAATTTTTTTTACGACTTGTTTTTATATTTTTAAATTGGGGAAACACAAAATAAAATCTTTGATTACAAAAAATGTAGTAATGAATGAAAAAATAATCAATAAAAATTAAAAAAATAATAAACAAGTAAAGATAATCCAAATAATCATTTTTTTTTATTGCGTTATCAATGTTAATGATACTAATAAAAATTTTATATTTTTAGAACCTAGCTTTCTCTTTGTTTTTGTTTTACTCAGTCGACGGACTATTTTTACTACCATAATATTGTTAGAAGAAAAATTGCGAAATCTGCTCGTATCAATTATTAATTATTATTTATTACATTACATCAGCGAAAACATTTAAGTTGCTTGCAAAAAGTAGCTGATAAATATTGTTGATTGTGAGGGTAATGAAAAATAACATCAATAATAGAGGACGAACAGAACTTCCGGTCAGTGTATTATCATGAGATACGAGAGCGATAAATTTAAATCATGTGCGTCAAAAAAAAAAAAATATAATACGAAACGACAATAAAATATATTGATAATGATCATTTTAATGTTAATATAAATATTTTTTCTGCCCTCCGGCCGGAAAGTGGCAACTTTCTGGCCGCTGTGCTAAACAAAGTTGCCACATTCCGGCTACGTCGAGCAGAAAAATAGTATACACACCTTGGCCAGTAAAAAGTAAAGCCTCAGATCACATTACATGTGATCTGAGACTTTTCTTATTTTACTGGCCTAGGTATGTAATATACTATTAAGTGTATACACATTCAAATCATAATCGTTGATAATAAATAATCAAATAAAATTATTTAGCGATGAAGATAAGATTAAAAAAGCTTGTGTGATGAAATTGACTCGGGTTTCGGTTTAAAATTTTTTTTTTATGCTTTGGAAACTAATAATGTAACACACGTAAATATCCCTGGAAAATATCCATGTGACAAAATAAATAAATTCCATTTTACAAGCACAAAGATCGTATGAGAAAAAAGCCTTCCTAGTACAGCTGTTTTTTCGACAACTAATTTTGAACGACTTATGTTTTTTATTTAATATTTTATAATTAAATGAGCATTATGAGTCGTGGACTTTTGGATTTTCTAAATTTTTTTAACTTACCATGGAAATTTAAAAAATTGGAACATTTTAGAATGTATTATGGGTTAGTGAACGACATAAATGAATTAACACAAAAATCTTTTGAATATGAATGAATCAAATAGATTGAATACCGTGAATTCATTTAATGACGTTTACCCTCATATTATATCGTGCGGTACCAATTGTTGAATTATAAAGGCATGAAGGCATGTTCCATTATCGTTCCCGCATATATTTCATTATTGCTTATGGCATGAAAGCTTTCAGGGAGCTGAACCAAACCGTTTATGTTCTGTGGGTAAATTTGTAATGGAGAATAAGGTAAAATAAAAGTAAAAAGAGAACTAAACCTGACGCAGACGGATCGCAGAAATAGTAACTGAGAAAGATAAAGAGGGCAGGAGCGTAAAGAGAAGTCATATTATCGAGTCAATGCACTGAGTCTGGTGATCGGCTCCATCTGGTATATTATATCTTCAAACGTTGAACGGTTTTAGCTTCTAACTCTTGTTTTTTTTTTTTTTTTTTTTTTTCAAGATTAACTCACATTAGGGATTAGCGAATCTTAAAATTTTTATTTAAAATTTGCAAATGTTTTTTCTTTAATTCTAGATGAAAAATTTTTTAGTTCTCCAACTATTTGATAATTTTGCTATCGCATTAATTTGAATAATTTTGTAAATTTATATTAGGTCTGAAAAATCTATTCTCATTTCAGTTGCCGAATGGCCTATTTTAATATTAAATTTAGTTTTGATCGTCAAATAAATATTTGCATAAAACTATCATATGATAACACTTAAGCATGAATCACTTGACGAGCATAAAAAATGAAAACACTTGATTAAACGGGCGCTGTTAATATCTAATAGTGTATCACATATAGATGATTCATATTTTATGGAATTAATATACAAAAAAGCTAAACTTGATAACTTGTAATCTCAGAGAATAAAATTGCCAATTAATCTATAAATTAAATTAAACAATTGTTCATAATATATATTAATTTATAGAAAAAATTAAAGGTCAGAGTTTCACAATAAATGAATATATTTCATTAATAAAATAAAAATTTAATTCTAAGGCGTTTATTTTTAATTAGAACAATAATTATTTCCAAGAATTGGGGGATGAGTTTTTTACGCTCATTACACTCTCGTAGTCTACGAGGGTGGAAATAAAATATTTTTAAAAAGCGCTGGAAATAAGACACTGCAAATGGAAGGAAAAAATGAGAAGGTTAACAGAAAAAAATATAATAATAATAATTTTAAATACACAGCTGTGACTGGTGGTGCATTTTTAATCCTGCTCTTTTTCACATCACTTTTTTCTCATTTTCTTTTAATTATGGGGTTTAAAGAGGGTAGTGAACTTTTGTTTAAATTACTGCGATATTTTTTTTCTTTAATTCTAAGCAAAAGTGTCAGTTCATTGTTTATAGAAAAAAATGTTAATAAATATCTCAAAAAAATCACTACGAAGTTGAAGAGACAAAATATTTTTTTTTAATGAGAAAAATAATGACAGTGAAGCAAAAAATTTATTATTATTACAACAATAGCATTGAGAAGAAATAAATTGAAAATTGCAAAAATTTTTTATTGAAATGTTTGTATTCCGTTTTATATTTAATTAAAAAAAATTTTTTTTGACTTCTGTATTGAAATAAATATTTTCTTAAAAATTTAAAGATATAAAAAAATTGATAAATTTTATTTTTTTTTTAAACATTAATAAAAAAAAAATTTCTTTGTTTCAGATTGCAGATTATATGTATCAGTATTAGTTTTTATATTCATTTACCAGTAAATCCACTTGACAACTGAATAAATGGACCAGTATAATAAAACAAATTAGAGCGATGGATGAAATACTAATGGTGGGACATGAGAGCAGAGTTCTGTATATAGAAGTGTGAGAGAAAAAACAAAAGTTCTTCGAATAGAAGGGTGTCTGCAGTCACTGTAACTAGTGTCTGGAGTTTGGAAAAAAAAGAAAAAAAGAAAATAATTAACGTGAACAAATATAAAGATCAAAGATGAGCTCCAGAGTATTGTTGTTTGCACTGACTTTAGCCGCTATTGTTTTTACCACTCTAGCGGCTCTTGAAGGCCCAAATGTCTGCGTTCGACAAGAAGTGTAAGTTAACTAGTTATTAAAAATTAATTTTAATATTGGGATCTATATTAATAATAATAATAATAATAATAATAATAATAATGATAAAAATTCTCAATAGATATACCGTAACAGTAAATGTATCAGAACAAAAACCGTATCAAGTTCGTGAAAACAAATGGTGTTTCGCCGTACCACCAAGATGTTCGAGTTACCGTATGGAATTCAAAACTGTTTACAAAACAGAGGTTTATTATTTTATTTATTTATTTATTTATTTATTTATTTATTTATTTATTTATTCACTCTTACGAATAGGAAGATTTATTTTTAAAATTAATATTATGATTATGTAATGTTTAATTATACGCACAGCTAATCAATAGAACACGACCAGTGGATGAGTGCTGCAAAGGTTACGGACAAACTAAGAGTGGTGATCGATGTGTTCCTATTTGCAGTCAAGAGTGCGTCCATGGTACTTGTATCATGCCTGATGTGTGCAATTGTGAAAAAGGATACGGTGGACCTTTTTGTGATATTCGTAAGTTTTTTTTTAAGTTTGTCAAAATTGAAAAAAAGATTTTCTCAATTTATAGTTTTATTCCTGTTCTAATTTATAGAATTGAATAACTTAAGATCTCCTCAAATTCTGGATTATAGAATTTCTAAAGAAAAAAATGCGATAATTTATATACTTACAGAAACATTTATTTTCAGAATGTCCAGTTGGTAAATGGGGCAAACATTGTAGCAAAGACTGTAAGTGCATGAACGGCGCAACGTGTGATCCATTTAACGGGGAATGCAAGTGTACAAAAGGGTGGATGGGTGATAAATGTAACCAAAAGTGTCCTCCAGATCATTACGGCCAGGATTGTGGTGAAGAATGTCGGTGTCGAAATGGCGGCAGTTGTCATCATATTTCTGGAGAGTGTCATTGCGCTCCTGGCTACACCGGACCACTGTAAGATAACTTTTTTATTATACAATACAAAATTACAAGCTCTCAGCCATAATCCAGTTAACAAATTTTATTTTTCAATTATAGTTGCGATGATCTGTGCCCCGAAGGACGACATGGCGACGATTGTAAGACCGAGTGCAAGTGTCAAAATGGCGGACACTGTTCGCCGACAGACGGTAACTGTTCCTGCACTTCTGGATGGATAGTAAGTATTTCTTCAGAACAAATAAAAAATTTTCAAATTCTAACAATTTATATATTAATTTTTTTTTGTTTTCAGGGCGAAGTTTGTGGAAATAGGTGCCCAGATGGTTTTTGGGGTCAAAATTGTACTCAAGAGTGTATTTGCTACAATGGTGCGGCGTGTAATCACGTAACGGGTGAATGTATATGTAAACCAGGTTATCGTGGACATGAGGTGATTAATCAATTTATAATACTTGTGTATAATAATAATAATAATAATAATAATAGTAATAGTAATTTAACTCCTTTTGTTTTCAATAAAAGGATTAACTGTATCATTCATAATTAATTACATATATATTCATTACAGTGCTTTGAAGTTTGTCCTCATGACAAATGGGGTTTGGATTGTAAAAATAATTGTACTTGCCAAAATGGGGCCGCGTGCTTACCGAACAATGGCACGTGTGTTTGTAAACCTGGGTGGATTGGCGAACAATGTGAAAAGCGAGGTTGTCCTGACGGTAGATACGGACCCAATTGTCAGAAGGTAACAGTATTAAATTAATCACTAATTTAAAAAATTTAATTACCCGAAAATTATTTCTTTTTACACTGAGAAAAAAAAATACTTTTATTAAGAAAATTTTTTTGATACAAGAATTCATGTTCTTGAAAATTTTCAAGAATATATATTCTTAGCTCAAGAACTTGTTAAATTGATTGAAATAATTTCTACTTAATTTAAATAAATCTATTCTCTTGTTTATCTATTATCCAAGGATAAATATTGGATGCTCTTCTCTTCAAAAATTAATAATTAATAATAATAATAGAATATTTGGTCGTTATCGAATTTCTTGAACCAAGAAATTGTTAATTGAGTAAAAGTATTTTTTTTTTTCTCAGTGTAATAACTTTAAAATTGAAAATAGGTTTGCGAGTGCGATGAGTCAAACACGGAACTCTGTCATCCATGGACCGGGAATTGCGTTTGCAAAAACGGGTGGGACGGACCCAAATGTTTGAGATCATGCCCGTTTTTGTACTACGGCAAAGGATGCGAAGAACGCTGCAATTGTAAAAATAACGCTCAGTGCTCGCCGATAGATGGAACATGCATTTGTGCTTCTGGTTTTCATGGAACTGATTGCAGTGAAGTTTGTCCCGATAATATGTATGGCGAAGATTGCACTCAAAAGTGTGCATGTAAGCATGGCGCCTCTTGCGCACCGGATACCGGTCGTTGCAATTGTACAGCAGGTAATAATTAGTTATAAATTTTTATGTCTAAATTACAAACAGTCAGAGGGAGAGAGTTATAAAGTTAATGTAATTTTTTTCAAGTAGTTTGATTAGTGGATGATAAGTTTTATAACAATTTTACACATTTGATTTCTTCTATTTAGTATGATAAATTTCAACAGGCGTAAAGTTGGCGCTAGTATTGCAACTGTTGTTTATTGATCACTTTTTCTTGTATTATATGTAAAAAATAATTTTATGTCAGGATGGGATGGTGTTCTGTGTGATCGGCCTTGTCCAGACGGTTCATTCGGTAAAGATTGTGAAGATAAATGTCAATGTTTCAATAATGCAGCATGTGATCCGCAGAATGGTAATTTTAGTAAATTTGTTTTTATTTTTATTTTTGGTGTTGGTCTGCATTTTCCACTTTATTCATGGAAAAAAAAAAAAAAAAAAAAAATTTCACATATCATATTGCTCGCATGAATACACAATTTGTTGAAAATAAATGTATGTAAATAAAAATCTGAAAAAATAGGAACTTGCACATGCGGAGCTGGGTATATTGGCCACCACTGTGAGCAAAAATGTTCTCCAGGTCTATTCGGTCAGGACTGTTTCCATCAATGTGATTGTGAGGAAGACAATACTCAAGAATGTAATCCTACTACTGGAGAATGTAGTTGTAAGCCGTTGTGGCGAGGTTAGTTTATAAAAAATCTCCGATTTTCACTGAAAATATATACTTCCGATGGTAGTTATTGAACATGGAAAATAATTTGTTTGTTGATGATTGGTTTGTTCTATAAATAACAAATTTATTTATTAAAAATTTAAAGGAAGAACTAAATGTTAATTAACGAAATTTTTCTTCTAATGCACGCATAATTTTTTCTATTAAAAACTTTCGGATGTTTGATATTTTCTAAATAAACTAAATTTTAAAACACACTAATAATTAAACACTAAAACTAAAATATACTTAGGAGTAAGATGTGAAACACGATGTCCAATTGGTTTTTACGGTGAAGACTGTCAAACACCGTGTAAATGTAAGAACAATGGTTCTTGTGACCCGATAACTGGGGTTTGCGCCTGCGCTCGTGGATGGGAAGGTTCCGATTGTTCCCAGCCTTGTAAACACGGATGGTATGGCGCCCGTTGCAAAGAAAAATGCCCGGAAAAAATTCACGGTAAGATATTAACTTACTTTAACTCTAGCATATAAACAAATTCTAACAACAATTACTAATAATAAATACAATTAATACTAACAAATTGTTCTTAATAATGCATGACATTTTTTAGCATCTTCGTAATTTAAAATATATAACATAAACAAACTATTGCACTGTGAATCAATTAATTTTGAATAACGCTTTGCGTGGATTGCTTTTAATTACTGTCTTAAGAAATTAACAAAACTTATTAATAATAAATAATTTATATTAAAGCAATATTTATGGATTAGTAAATGGAATGAGGTAAGAGATAGTTTAATAAATAATTTTGAAAATACATTAAATATTTGTAAGAAAAAAAAAACTCTCTCCCTCTGCTGCTTTGCATTGAAAAGCATTTTGGTTGATTAATTATGGATATATATTCAGTTATTTATAAATTTTATTGGGAAAATTAATTTTTGCCTGATTGTTAATAGGAAACATGACTTGCGACCACGTGACTGGGCAGTATGTATGCAGACCCGGTTATTTGGGGTTGACCTGCGAGCATTCGTGTCCACCTGATCGGTGGGGTCTCAACTGTATAAATCATTGCGACTGCAAAAATGACGGCGAGTGCAATCACGTCACCGGAGCGTGTCAATGTCGTCCAGGGTGGCAAGGAGAGCGCTGCCAAACTCCCTGCGCTCAAGGAACTTTTGGGGTTAATTGTACTCAGCATTGCAGATGTCAAAATGGCGGCAAGTGCCGCGCAAATGATGGAGTCTGTAGATGTACTCCTGGATGGACTGGGGCTCGGTGCACTGACAGTGAGTTTTCATTTTGTTTAAACTGATAAAAAAAATAGTCCTGAGAAGGGTTTTTTTGACTACAATTTATTGAAATTAATTATTAAAATTTAATTTATTGATTTCTACATATAATATCAATTTTTGCCTTCATTATAAAAGGCAGATTACTAGTAAAATTTTTTTATTTTTAATTTAAATTATTTTATCTATTTTCAAATTACAAAAGCATTTAAAAGTTATATTTTTTACAGTCTGTCCAGAAGGTTACTACGGTGACCACTGCATGGAGCCATGTGAGTGCAAAAACGATAATTTCCAATGTCACCCGGCAAGTGGCTGCATCTGTCGTCATGGCTACACCGGGGCCAACTGTGAAGAAGAGCGAATCTCTCGCAACGTCCAAGAAAAGACTGAATCCAGTGTAGGAAGTGTCGTAGCAGGAATATTCGCAGCAGTGATTGTAATAGCAGCGACTTTGGCCGCTTGGATGTACCACCGACGTCGTGTGGCTAACCTCAAAATGGAGATGGTCCAGGTGCAGTACATTGCCGAACCGGTAACTCCTCCAGACCGCAATCATTTTGACAATCCTGTTTACTCATGTCAACCAAATTCGACTCGCATTGACGACGCGGCAATGTTGCTGAACAACGGGGTGATACGGAACAACTTGGGCACCAAGAGCACCAACAGCGAGAAGGCAAAACTGGGCTTAGGGCTACCTGGGAATGGTGCTTGCTATGCAGATGATGATGATGATGACAGTGACAGCTGCAGAGGCGCTTACGGACAGTATGACCATCAAGCTTCGTTGAAAAACAAAGACGCTGACTTGGGCAATCCTAATGTCAATGTCTATCACAGTATTGATGAAATGGACAACAAAAAAGGTGCAGAGCATCTCTACGACGAAATAAAACAGAACAACGCTGAGTTGGAGTACGATCACTTGGACTACACACGGCCATTAGGTGCGTGGAAGCCTCACTACCAGCGTATGGCCAATGGCTTCGGTCCCAGCAGGGATGAAAGTGGTTCCAGCAGAAGCGGCTCGACGAATCCTCAAGATCCAGAGTTTGGAGGCAAATGAATCTCTTTTTACAAAATTAACCCTTCATAGCATAGGTTATACCGTACGTATTGGTCATTACTTGCGTCAGCAGCGGAATTAGCCAAAGTATGTCGGAGTTGCTCGAATGGCGGATTTTACGGTACCAACTTTACTTGGGTGATAAGAAATCTCTCACAGTGATAGAGAAATATTTTTCTTTTTTTATCACTAAAAAAATTAAAAATTTTTATTCTCGGATATCTTAATAACTAAAAAATTATGTACAGGTAAAAAAATTTCAAAGTAGTTATTTAATTTGAAAATTTAGCGAAAAAGAAGTTCTTTAATGAGTGTGAGAGAATTTTTTACACGAATGCTTTTAAGGGTTTACTTTGTTAATCAGTGCTGAAATGAACAATTGCTTTTATTTTCGCGGTTGGTTGTGCAATTAAGACTTGTAAATATTTTATAAGATTTATTCACGCATGATAAATAGCAATTAATATATAAAAATTTAATTATAATTATAAATAATATTTAATTATATATGTCTATTAATATTCGTATATTTAATTACTGCCTAGGTTAGTCTAGGTTATGTTGGTCTGCACATATGTGTGTTATTACTACGTGAAGAAAAAATAATCGAATTTTTTTTTTTTTTTTCACATTCAATTATATTGTATGATTATATATTTTAATCAATTCGACGGCACATCTTTGAATTTAGACTTTTCAGAGTCAATTTTTCGAAAAGAAGAAATTTAATTTTGATCAATTTTTTTTAGCAGTTTTTAAATTTTATTTACAAAAATTAATTATGATATATATGTCAGTGATTTCTTTTTATTTTTTTTGATTAGAACTAAATAACTATGTTAAGGTATTCAAAGGTTGAAAATTAACTTTTTTTTTTTTTTTTTTTTTTTTTTTTTTTTTTTTTTAAATAAATGATCTGGTATAAAAAATGATAATTTATATTTTTAGGGGTTTGATACGTTTATGAATTTAATCATATTTTTTATTGTATAATTATAACTGTAAATTTATTGAAAGCGATTTTTTTATATTATTAATGATTTTTTTTACTGATTGTGAATTATATAGATATATTATTTTTATTCTGTGATAAGTCGATAAGTATCGAAGTTAGTGCGAATCATATTAGACATTTAGTGACCACAAACAAAAGCAATTGATGAATTTAAAGAGAAATATAAAGAATAAATAAAATTAATAATAATTAAATAATATATATTTATGTATACTTATATAAAGTCATATAATTATTTTTTAGTTTTTGAATATTTAATGAAAGTCGAAAATATAATTAATTTAAGAAGAAATAATATCGTACACTTTATTCATTGTAAATCCAATTTTTGAGGCTGGCTGAGTGTAAATTCGAAAAGTGTATATATATATATATATTTATTATTAGTTCATTGTCAGTATTTATCAATAGTTCATTGCTATGAAGTAAGGTATATAAAAATTGTCGCAACGAAGTATTTTTGGAATAGCTTTATTACACAAATAATAATGATTAAAGTATCTAAAGTGAAGAAACCTTTAAATTTTGTATTATTAATAATAAAATATCAGCTTTAATGTACTATTTTTTAATCATCAAACAATTAAGGTGGTTCAGTCGCGCAATTCATTTGTTACCAAAATTATGAAAATTTTTTTATCGAAAGATAAATTCATCAATAGCTCACTACCAAAATTTCAGATTGATTCATCGTGTGATGCAACTAGATTTTATACTAACTTTATCAGCTCTCCGTACTTTTATAAAAATTGATTAGTCAGAAATGGTGCGGTAAGATATGAATTGCGCGACCCAACTACCTTAAACCGGTGATGCAGTAATAGCAGCTGAAAATCCGATCGTTTTGTTACTGTTGCGTTCTTTGCTTACAAACTTCAAAAAAAATTTTATTTTTTGCAGAAAAAATAAAAAAATTGTTCTGTTTACCACAATAAATTTCAGTATGATGATCGTTAGGAAGATTGCCGTGTCGAATTTCAAGAAAATCATCAACACAATCTTTACTCTCTTTAAGTTCAAAATCATAAAATTTAATCGATACTCCATGGTTATCGGGAGCTTGTATGTTCCAAAGGCACTCTTTGTTTGCTGCATATGATTCTGGATAATTGGGCGATTCAAGATAATAAGTATCATTACTTTCGATAAAAATATTATTGTGGTAGAAAGTCTCGTATTCTATTAAAAAACTATTATTTAAATTACGATGAGAAATTTTGGAATATTTTAGTGTCAAGAAATTTCCTCCAGTGAAAGAGGTTCTTAAATCACGTCGATAAAAGGCTGAAACAGAAGTCATAAGCACAATTAATAAAATAGTTATCAATCAAATTAGCCGATTCTATAAAACTAAAAAAGTAACGAACCGTAAACAGGATCAGTCGGCAAATAACCATTGGTTATTTCCAAATAATCAACTATCGTATCAGAAGAATTGATATTCTGATGTAAAGGTATGATTTCAACACTTATTCCTTCGCCTTCCAGCCGCTCTAATTGTCCATTCATAATCATTGTAAGTTGTATTTAAGTTTGACGATGGACCAAAAGCGCCTTTTGGTTTAAAAAATTTTTTACCACATTCTGTAAGAAATAATCATAGAAAATTACTAATTATTGAAATCAGATTTTGATGATATAATTTAGAAATGTACTTACTGGAACAATTATATAACAAATTAGCAGCCAAAATGTCACCCTTGCTGAGTTTGATTATTTGACCTATTTTTGGTATTTTCCCATTAATTTTTCACAGGGGAACAATAGTCTGCTTGCTTGGATGCTTTGAACTTGCAAATGCAGGATAGTGCATAATTGAAAAGTAATTATAAGGTTGATCTAAAGTATCAACTGCTGTTGAATTTAATTTTATAAATGAAGTCTTATCGTCTGTAATATTTAACAATAAAATCATAACAGTGTCGGTCGTGCAAGAAGTAGATGATCTACCAAGTACTCTTATCTTATCGTCCATCATGTTGTCAAAGTTGACTTTAACATAGTCATCGCGATCTGGATGTGTAATTTTTTATTTAATTAGATACATGTGCGAAAAAGTTTAAAAATGTTCGATGACGACTGTGTCAAAAATAAATTAAATTCAATTTTTCATCGGTACCGCAGTAATTGTTGCTGAAAACCCAACACTTTCATCAACGCCATCACTTATAAAATGAAAAAAAAACTTCTCATCGTACAAAACGATATCCCACGGATTTTGTTTTCCGCAATGTATTCTCGAAGACCCTTCTTCCCTGACGGATCCAAAGTGCGGTAGAGTACGGTAATATACGGCAAATTTACGGCAGGGTACGGTAGAGTACGGTATGTACAGTGGTTTACCGTAATACAGTATGACACCGTAAATTACGGAGATTGTACCGCAAAGTACCGTGATTGTACAGTAATTTACCGTTATTGTACGGTAAAAGATACTGTGATTGTACGGTAAAATACCGTAATTGTTAGTAAAATACTCTAATAATCCGGTATATAAAGTACTGTTTTTGTACGCAAAAGTACCATAATTTTACGGTAATTTACCGTAATTGTACGGTAACTTATCGCTAAAATAAGGTATATTTGACGGTAGGTTACCATTGGAATACGGTAGTGCGGAAAGTTCAGAAGTATATATTCTACCGTATTTTCACCGTACACTACCGTAGTTGTACCGTAATTTTACCGTTTTATACCGTATTTTCACCGTTCTTTACCGTACGTTACGGTGTTTTACGGTTTCTACCGTGCAATGCAAGTAGAATGCTACTGTAATTTACGGTGGCCATACGGTATATCGACCGTATTTTTACCGTATAATACCGTAATTTTACGGTATTTCAGATCCGCCAGGGTTCCCAATTATACGTCCAGATTTGAACGTGATCAAACGTGCAATTCTCACTCAACTCAAGATTAAAATATTCGAAATGAATTGTAGTCTTATGATCTTTCGGTACTGTGAATTCCCAGAGACATTGACTGTTCGGTTGATAATCTCTCGGATAATTTGGTGACTGGATGGTAATAGCATCGTTGATGCTCATAATAAACTTCTCACCGCGACAAATCTTGCGATAGATCGCTCGGAAGCCCTCATCTTCATTTGGTCTTTGTGTTCTTACGTATTTCACTAACATGTCTTCGTTAATCAGCAGAAGATTAGTGTAATTTCCACAGTACCGAGCTGGAGAAGGAATCAAAATTAGCGGCGAGAAATGAATGCTAATTTGTTAAAAGAAAATAAAAACTTGCCTAAAAGATTGCTGCCTCTCTCTGAAAAACCTTTTCGAACTTCAAGATAATCTGTCATGCAACCAGGGCTTTTCGGAATGTTCAACGATAGAATTTTTAAAGCTACTTTGCCTCCACTCGAGACCGGAATTTTCCAGTCATAATTTAAGATGTTTTGACTGTCATTCATTAATTTCGGAGATGTTATAGATCCTTGGAAATTGAATAAAGTTCTCTGCTACAAGCTGAAATTGATACTCAGATAGAAAAATTATACCAAACCACTAAAATATTTTTCAAGAAATTTTGAACGTCATCGGGCATCATCCATAAAGTTAATTTTAAAATTTTCAAGAAAGTTCTTCTGAACACTATTTCAAAATGTAAATTTTACATCATCATTTATGTAATAATTTTCACAGGTAATTTCTTTCCTTTTGTAAACATGAAAGAAAATCTATTTACATGTCTTTAAAAAAATTTTATCAATGAACTTACCAAAACATTGATATAGTTTATTCGTAGCCGATATATCACCGTCACTAAGTCTTACTTGGTTACCGATTTTTGGTCTTGTTCCATTTATGTGTCGTATTGGGACTATTGTTTTTAAATAATCAGTAAGCGCGAATGCGTCTTCCGGATAATGCATCACAGACCGGTAATCATAGGGGCTGCCTAGAGTATCTACTTCACCATACGGTCAAAACTTCCCAAATTCTTGCCGATAACCTGCGTTGAAAATGAACCTAATTTTCTTATAACTTGACAATTCATTTACTAACATACCTCGCTCAATGTTATACTTATTGATGAAGACGTACTGATCGCGATCTGGGTGCTCATGCTCGTGGTGAAGCCCTAAAACGTGTCCCAGTTCGTGGAGAATTATCGGAATTTCATAGCAGCCATCATTTAAGCTTAGTTCGGAGCGGCCCTTGTTTCTAGGATCGTTTTCGATGTAACAGCAACTGGTATTTTATTATTGATAAATAAATAACCAATATAAATAATTAAATCAAGTATTGTCCGGATGAGAAAAAATTTTTTATCAAGAACAGTAACAATGATAATTAAAAAGAATGATTACCCGCAGTCCAATTTAATTATCGCAACATAATCAGAATCTACTTGAGGATTTCTTTCGACGAATTCAACGCAAGTTGACTCTTCCCAAATTTTCATCCCAAGCTTAATTATTCTTCGCTGTGATTCATTGAAAATATTTTCAATTTCATAAGGAATAATTCCGTAATTCCCAAAGCTTATTTTTGTCCTTAATGGCTACCGATTTTTTGACTTTCTTTCCCACGATGCTTTGTGGAAATATTCTTTCGTTTGTTCCCAGATGACTGAATTCAGTCTCTTGCAATATATATGAATTGACCAGCAATATAATTAATTTAATCAAAAATACACTGAGGATAAGCTTCATTTTAGAGGAATATTTAACTAGAAAAATTCAAGTAAAACTCCAAGATACTCTTACGCGCTTACAGGATGATGAATGTCTTCTATCTCAGTTTTCCTTTTTAATAAACGACAATTTGTTCATTTTTTTTTTTTTTTAATTTCGTAATGGGTTCATGTACTTCTTTATCTTATTTCTTTATCTTACTTCTTTATCTTATATAAATTTAAAAATTGAAGCACTACTTTGAACGTCAAAGCACAGATACTGATTAATTGCTTTAGAGAATTTATTAATTAATAACAAATTAATTTTTCTTAAATTTAATCGTATTTTATGATTATATTTTTTCATAAAATATTTTTGTGTCTAAATTTTTCAATAATTTTTAACTTTCGGCTGAGAAAATTAGAAATTAAAAAAAAAAAAAACAGTAAGTTATTTATCTCATCTCGATTTTTAAAAATAAAGTTTTTATTTATCAGATACACGGAAAAAATGAACCAGTCAGGTTTCATTTTTTCCGTGCATTAACATTTTCAAACTTAAAGAAAAAATCGTTTTCAATTAATAATTATTTAAAAGCTTTCTCATATGTTTTCTGAAATCCGAGAGTATAATTAATAATTAAACATCAATCCAAATATTTGGAGCGAAAATCGAAGATTTTTTCATGTTTCAATAAAATTTAAGATGTCACCGTCTTGAAAAAAGTAGTTTTGAGAACAACGTGTTTAAAATTTTGGACTAAGCTCAAACCGTTTCGACAGTACGTCACTATAATAGCTATATCTATTAAAATAATTGTAATTTCAAAAAATCCTTGTAAGAAAATATTCTTTGAAGATTGGAACTCTGGAAATATTTAAAAGAAAATCAATTTTTTTCAGAATAACACTAAAGCCAACAATGTTCATTAAAATTATTTTTTTATTCATTGATTCAATATATATTTAATTTTACATATGATATATAATTCTTCTGAATTTAATTCAAGTAAGTATTTAATATCGTCATTAAATTAACGTACGTTTTGTTTTTATTATAAAATAGTACGGCGTGAATCGAACTACGTATTAACTCATTACTATCTATTTACAGAAAAAATCTACAATAAACATTTTTATTTGTGTACTTTATTATTTTTTTTAATAATAATTATTATAATTATTATTATTAAAGAATTTTAACTTTTACAATTTACTTTATACGAAAAAGTAATCACTTAAAAAAATGACCACGGATGAGGCAGTGATTATTAACGTATTGCAATAATTTAACTTTGAAAAAAAATTTCTGCCACTTGTGGTTCTTAATTGTTTCTCAAAAATCCTCTAACAAAACATTATGTAATATGGCACATTTACGGCCTATGAATGAAATGAAAAACATTGAATTTTGTAACAAATAAATCTTAAATTAATGATTAGTTCGGTTTTTTTTCCGTCTGTTGCGCGGTCGATAATTGTCTCTCACCATCGAAGTAAAGCCGTTTAATTTTCCACGTCGAGATCTATTGCCATTAACTCTATACTTATGATTATTATTATTATTATTATTATTATTATTATTATTATTATTATTATTATTATTTTTATTATTATCTTGATTTGAATTTTGCAAATTCAAAAAATCTTGAAATGCGCGCCGCTGATAAGTTACTGACGGCGAAATCTGGTTGGTTTTAGTGCGTCGACTTGCCGCTGATAAACGGCTGGCGGTATTGTCACGTTCTCGAGGCTCAAGGGAATTCCCGAGCCCCATTGAAGATCAGAAATTGTCTTCCTCGTCGATTCCACCGAGGTTTTCATCGCTGTCTTGGCGATCTACTGCCACGTAGGCCGCTGAAAATCCTTTGTTTGACACAGTGTCGTCCGAACGGAATCTTATCAACAGAGCTTCGTTCATCGACACTATCTCCGTAATATTCTGCACAAAGCAAACAAAAAAAGTCAATGAACAATCTCTTCGATTCAAAGGGAATAAAAAGTCTAAAACACTTACTGAGTCACAAAATTTTCCATAACTGGGACTGGAAGCGTCTAATCCAGAGTAAATTTCGACAAAATCATAAGCGCAATCTTCTTCGTACTCCAATTGAAATGACAAAAATGATAAGTGTACATTTTTTCCAATCGGCGCTTCAATAGTCCAATCGCAGTCTGTGCGATGATCGTAGTTGTGAGTTCCGTATCTCACGTGAGAGTATATATATTTAACTTCACTTGTCGCCATCAGGTGGCCTCCGCATGCTGTTTTTGAGTGAGTATAATATCATAATTAGTACTTGTAAATTGGTTAATTTTAGCTTATAAGTTATGAAAGTAAATACCTGTTGTATGAGAAGCTAAAAATCCTTTTCTTTGTACTGACATATCACTTTTGAAGACCATAAACATTTGATTACTCGTTGCAATTATTGGATGAGGTATTTTAGTTCCACAAAATCTCCCAAGGGTGTGACTGTCTGGTGAGTCACCGTCGTAGATGGCGATGTAATCGTAGGCACACTCTTGATGGGATTCCATTTCGAAGACCTTGAAGATCTATTAGAGATGTTATATTTTAGAATTATTGAAATAATTGTAAAAAAATATTGTGAAATATTATAGTAATTACGTTCATTTATGTATGAACTTAGTAGATGAGACTATACTTGTAGTCGAAAGTACTACAAATTTTTTTTCAATTTTTGCATATTTTTTGTCAATAGCGGAGAGCATTATTTTTAAAATGCCGTATTTGAGTTTTTAATGTTAGTCCCGAATTAAAAGAGATCTAGCTATAATACAACACGGCAAAAATAAAAAGAGAAAAATTACATCATAAATAGTCATAAGCGTCGCTTTATATAAAAAACTAGAAAAATTGCAGTTCGAAATAACATTTTTATAAATTCAAACTTTGAATGTTAATTTTCAGAGCTTTCAATGTAATTCTTACATAAATCTGTAATAATTACAATCTGAAACTGTAATTATTCCAGTTTTTTTATATGAAGCGCCACGTTACATTATATAATGTAATTTTTCCCTTTTTTTTTTTTTTCCGTGAAAAATACCTTTGAGTTTTTTTTAACTATTAATAAATATTTATTAAATCATTGATATTAAAAATTTAGCTCTTGAAGTTTCGTTTAAGAAAGCTTTTCAAATATTAAAAAAAATTCTGTCAATGAATATAGAGGATAAGTGGAAATTTCGTGACCAATTACCAATTTAATTCGATGACCAGGAGTCGTCGTGAAATGCCAAACGCAGTCTCTTCTCGAGGGATAATAATCCGGGTAATTCGGGGAAGTTATTGTCCCAACAGGACTCAAGATCTCGTACTTGCACCCTCCTTCTTTGCAATCATGCCCGTTGTCCTGGAGCTTGAACCCATTGTGGCAAGAGCACTCATACGAGCCAATAGTATTGTGGCACTCGTGCTGACACCCGCCATTATTGTTAGCACACTCGTCCATGTCGGTAAAAAAGACAGCCGCGAACCCAGATTTTTGTATGCTAAAATTCAAATCCGCATAATTCAAAATCAAATCGTTATTTTCTCAAAAAAAAAAAAAAAAAAATAACTAATCTGTAAAAACTAACTTTTTGTCAGACGTAAAGGCGATTCTCATGGCATTGCCTTCGGAAATAATCGGCGTAGGGATCTTGGAGCCGCAGAAAATTCCGTGCTTCTTTAGAATATCGTCCCCTAATTTGCTGGAGACTTCTACAAAATCGTAGTCGCACTCCTGCTGGTACATTCTGTTCCCCTCTAAGTCAAAGTGAGTGAAGTTTAGAGTTATTCTGTAGTGTAAGGGCGCTATTATTTCCCAAATACAATTTTTGTTGCCCGGGTAGGTCTCAGGAAAAGAAGGGCTGGTTATTGTTCCATTGCTAGCGTCAAAAACTCCCCCGCAAGCGTCTGGAATTGATAATTCAATTAATAATAGATTATTTATAAGTTGCTTTTAATTGGTTGAATAAAATCAATACCTTCACAATGTTTTCCGTCTGAGTGCAACTCGTACCCGATTTTACAGGAACATTCGTATCCACCTAAGGTATTAAGGCATTCGTGCTCGCATCCGTGATCGGTCATCGCGCATTCATCGAATTCTTAAAAATTTCCAATAAATATTGAAGATTAAACGAAAAACAAAATTAAAAATTAGCAATAATAATAATATTGATAATTGTAAAATAAAATGAATGAAGCACCTTTCATGACAGTGGCAGAAAATCCAGCCTTTTGTACAGAGCCATCGCTAACGAACTTAACAAAAAGTTTGTTACCGGTGGAACGAAGATCCGGTGGGGCTTTGTATCCACAATAAAGTCCAATGAGCGGGGAATCGGAAGTGTGCCCGTCTCTAACTTCGACGTAGTCATAAACGCAATTGTCGTGATTCTCTATTTCGAATGATTGAAACTTTAAGGCAACTTGGTAGTCCTGGGGTACTGTCAGTCGCCACACGCATTCCTTACTCGATTGATATTCCTCTGGGTAGTTTGGTGACTCCAAGTGTCCAACAGTCTCCAAAGTAACGTTACCGCCGCAAACTGCTTCATAATTTGCCCCGAAACCACGGTAACCGTTCTCGAGACTTGTTCGCACGTAAGTTACTAGCATGCGGCTCCCGCTTGAAATTATCGGCTCGTGGATTTTACCGCTTCCACAAAAACGACCTGGAAGTTTTTATTTATAATTTTTAAGTTTTTGGTCGAGGTAGAAATGTATTTTTATAGGTTTTTTTACGATGATTTTATTAGAATCTGTTGCATAATACAATAAACAGTAGAAAAGCCTAATTTTCTAGATTCTAAAATTAATGCGGTCAGTTGCCATTTATGTGAGTATTCAAAGCGGAAATTTTCTCATAATTAAAACAGAATAAAGAACTGAAAATAGTTTTACTTACCGTTTTAATTTCGAACAAAACTTTACAAAAAAATAATGCTTTTCAAACTTGCTTGTTAATAAATGTTCTCAATTTTGACTTTAAATCAAACTCCGTTCAAATGACGAGTGATATAGTAAAATATGTTGTTATAAAGTATACAATTTTTTGCATAAATTTATTATATATAGTTTTTTTTTTTCGTATTTTAAATATTCAAATCAAAATTTTGATTTCTGCATAAAAGAATTTTTTTACATAGCCTGATATGATGAAAGCTTTTGAAAAGCTTATTAGTGAACAATAGGTGCATTAATATTATATCTAGCATAATGTGAAATGTATAATAAAATGTATTTTACCCAAAACAGGGCTTTTGTGCCAGTAACCATCACGTATTTCCAAATAATCAGCTTTACAGTAATCGCTCTTGTAAATATCCAGCGATGTTATATTCAGTACTATTCGTTCTCCATGTGTCGCAGTAATGCGCCATTCACAACGCTCGCCCTCCACCGAGGGCGAGCTATTAGGGTGAGTTGATGATCCAAATGTACCACTATTATCTTGAAAAGTTCTCCCACATTCTGCAACAGACGACAATAACTTTAGCAAGAAAAATCATTCTACTGCAAGACTTTTTATTTAAATTATTACAAAAATAATTGTGTGAAATTAAAAAAAAAAAAAGTAACACGTTTTTTTTTATTTTTATTAATTGTTTGGTTATTGATATAGATCGATAAATACTTGGGCATTTGTACAGAAGATTCGTTTGTGCAATATCTCCCTCGCTAAGTCGTATCCTTTGACCAATTTCCGGTCGTTTTTTTCCGGTGTTCTCGATTGGTAATATTGTATCAAGATACGTTCCCTTTGAAAATGTATTCTTTGCGTAGTGCATTATTGAGTCGTAGTCGTATGGTAAGCCGAGCGAGTCCACTTCTTCGTTTGTCAATTTGTTGAAATTGTACTCTTGACCTGTACAAAATTATTTTTATTAATAAAATCTTGTAATTAATAATAATTACAGAAATTCTTTATTTTTGCGCACTGATAAAAAATTAAGCTTAATTCAGAACCGACAAACTTTTGAACCAAAAAAAAAATCTATTTTTAAGAATTTGATCATTTTGAGGAGAACTCGAAAATTCAGAAAGTAAGAAAAAATTGTACTTAATTGAAAGATTTGTTTACTTGATTTGAGATGGTTGAATTCTTACCAATAATTTTTCTGGTTACCGAATTTTTCTTTTGATTTTTTTTGAAGTTATTTGTTTGAACAGTGTATAGCGAGTATCGATGTTTTGTTTAATGAGTAATGTTTGATATTTTGTGCTTGAAAAAAATTATTTACGATGAGTTTTAATATTTTATTAACTTAACAAAACTTTAACTGAGAGGAAATTCATTAAAAAATAAAAATGTTATTTATTCATGAAGGATCAAACTCTTAGTAGTCAGCTAATTAAACTTTTTAGAACTTACCAACCGCGGTTGTTTTTAAACTGAGAAAGTTATTTAAATAGTCTTCTGTGTTATTATAAATTTATTTATTTAAAGATTGAGCTATTCAATGAACTAAAAATACTTTGGCTTATTTATATAAATATTTATTGATAGAGAACTTTAGTTTTCTCTATCGACATCGGCTGTCAATTTTATCTTTGACATTATTTATCATTTTTATGAATAATATAATTTTGATTTAAATCAGTAAGTAATTTTTTTATTATTATTATTTTTAAAATAAGCTAGACCAACTCTTAATAAATTTATATTAATATCAATATTATCATTATAATGATTTGATTACAAACGGTTGATAATTAATTAGCAATAACATAAATAGAATATGTGCGATTGCTCGGAGCCAGAATAAGGGCTGTTCAATGATATTACTAATAATAGTAATAGTAATAATAATAATAATAATAATAATAATAATTCTACAGATTAACTGTGGAGTATTGGCAGGTAATTGATGATTGAATGTTATTGAGAGACAATGTGCTTATATGCGGTGGATATAGAGAGTAGAGTGTATGATTATGTTTATGAGGAACGACAGGCTCGGCGGGCGTATTGTATATGGAGAAGCCGAGGATGAAAATAGGAAATGGATTATTATACTCACCGGCCATGATGTTATCCCTAATGATCTGTACGTGACGATCGCGGTCTGGTCGCGTGTGCTCGTGCCAGAACCCAACTACATGACCTAATTCATGAACTACGATACCGAATTTATCGCAATTCTTTCCGATACTAATGGCTTGCGGTCCATTACCTCGTTTACCCACGAAGGAGCAGCATCTAAATCAATTTCACTTTTTTGTTACTTTTTTCTTTATTTTTACTCTTTGCCTTACTTTACTACTTGTCAAATATTATTAATATCATTATTATAATTTAAAAAAATTAGTTTTAATAATAATAATCTGCAATCACTACACAGAAAAAAAAATATTCTTAAATCAAGTACATAATTTTGAAGAACTTAATATTCTTGATTTGAGTAGAAAAATTCTTGATTTAAGATAATTTTACTTGATTCAAGAATTTTTCGTCTTGATTCAAGACAATTAACCTCTTCAAAATTATATTCTTGGCTCAAGAATTTTTCTCTCGAATCAAGTTAACTTTTTTTTCAGTGGTATGCGTCTATCGAGAGTTATTTTATCAATAAAAGGACTTAGGCTTGATGATTTTTCGGTATTTTCACGTAAATTTTCAACGTATTAATAAATTACGTTTTTGAACGTTCAAAAATGGTGAGTTAGATGATGGATAGTTTCCGCATAAAATTTTATGAAAATTTATAAAATACTATGAAATTTTATAAAATTTTATTAGGCTATTTTCCGCATGAAATTTCAATAGTGAAATTTTATGAAAAAAATTTCAATAGTCAGTAATTGAAATAAAAAATTTGGAAAAAGCAAAAGTGCACGACTCATAATGCTGATTTAACTATGAAATAATAATAAAATAAAATTTTTCGATTGTAAGGCATTCTCTGATGCTTCGTATAATGAGTCGTGCAATAATGTATAAAAATAACCAAATGATTGAAGGAAATTTACCCGCAAGGCCTCTCAGTGAAGACAATGTAGTTAGGATGTTCCCGACTGACCCTCTCAACAAACTTAACGCAAGTGAAGTTCTCCCAGTGTCTCATGGCTTGCTTGAAAAGGGCTTTGTGAGCACCAGAGAAATTCCCGTCTATTTCGTAGGGAATAACCCCGTGATCCCAGACTCGTTCTTTACGGGCAGTAGCTGCCCGTCGTCTTCTGACCTGCCTCGAGCTTTTGACTTCTGCGTCTCCTGACGTCTCTCGGCGCTCACGAGCTTCAAATTTCGTTTTGTGCTCGTTGTAGAATTCGATATCACGTAAGCGCCTGTTGTGAACTGACACGTCCTCATCTTCGACATTCTCGTTACTATCATTATCATTATTATTTCTATTCTGATTATTATTACTATTATTATTATTATTATTATTATTATTATTATTATTATTATTATTATTATTATTATTATTATTATTATTATTATTATTATTATTATCTTCGGCTTTATCTCGGTCAGTTAAATCTCGTGGGACTAGATTTTTCACTCGTCGATAGTGGTGACGTCTTCTGCTTGGTCTGAAAATGTAAATTCAACGAGATGTACAGTGAAATTTTTTTTTCTATGAAAAAAAAAAAAATTGTCAGTTGCATGAGCTGAAAAAATCGTAAAATTAAATAAAACTCATAAAAAAGAACACAATAAATAAATAATGATATGCCAGCTATAAAGATATTTTTATGATCCAAGGGGAAAATAAGTTACACCTGCCACAACAGCGAAATGAAAAAAAAAAAAAAAAATGGAAAAATTAAATATAAATATAAAAGATTGTAGTAAAAAATCTGTTTTATGGTGATAAATAACAATAATAATATTCATAGCAAAATTTTCTACCTAAAGTAATAAAAATAATCAAATTGTACCACGGCCTCCGGAGTTTTAATAGAAACAATTTTTGTATCTTAATTTAAATTAATTAATAATATTCAATTGAAATTAATTGTCTGTTTTACGAAACAAAATAATTTTTAGAATAAAAATCATCGAAATAATTAATTTTATTAAAATAAAAAACAGGAGTTAATTACCACCGTCTGCACGTGTGCATATTAAATTATAGCTTCGATGGGTTAGATGATTAATTAATACATCAATGAATAAATTAATTTCATGTCCAAGCATTTTAATACATTAATTAATGAATGGTAATACTGATGCTTAAATTCGAGCCGGTTTATGCTTACGGTACACCTCATTAACTTTTAATAGTTACATAGAACGTGAGGGGTTTTTAAAAATGGGTTTTCATGAGATTTTTTTTTAATTATCATCATTACTTTAATTTTTTTTAAATATTTTCTAATTACTGATTTTTTTTTTAAATAAATTTACAGCCTGAAAAATCTTTAATTAAGGGCAAAAGTGGTTGAGATTTTTTTTGTGTAAAAAGTTCGATTTTTTTAGAATGTACAAAAAATAATGAGGACCTTAAATAGTAATTATTTAAAAGTTTAAAAATTTTCAATAGGGGTAATTTGAACCCAACCGGTAAAATTATCCACCCCAAAATTAAATAAGTATCCTGCGCTCAAGTAATTAAACGTTTGGAAAGAAATCGAACATTGAAGTAAAAAGTTTCATGGGGTTGAAATTGCCCTGGCAAGTAAAGGCCGAAGTTACTGAAATTACACGGGTGTAATTAATATAATATAACGATAGGTAATAAATAATACACAAAAAAGGGAGCAACAGAAGTAATTAGGTTTATTATTGTTGGTATGAATAAGTGGAAACTAAGGTATAAATTGAAATTGCTAAATTTGTATTGTCAATTCATAGCACGTATACAAACGGGAAACTGTAGCACGTGACGATGGGTTTTTCGGGTGGTAGTTAACTATATATGTATATACATAAGGTCTGCTTGACATACATTTTTATTTGTTTCTGTTTTTGATAACCGCTTGATAGTAATCGTAATTTTCTGTTTTAATTAAAACACTGAGGGTACTTATTTGTGTCATTTGAATAAATTTATGTCAGCATTAAAGGATAATGCGTACATGTGTTAACTCCATCGAAAAGCTTGTTCGTAATGTTGTGTATTAATAACACGGGGGATGATTGGATTTTGATTAAAAAAAAAAATAAACTCATCTGATTTGATTGAGCTTTTATTTCACAAAAGAAATTTATTGTTATCGAAAATACTAAGCAATTTTTTTTGATGAGAAAATTCTGTGGGGTTATTAATCTTTTAAAAATAAATGAACTGATTTAAAAAATTTTGTAAATTAGTATAATCAAATATTTAAATCCACCTTTTTTTTGCTGAAAGTAACCAAAGAAGTGAAAAACCTCAATCAAATGACTGGCTTAAGCAAAATCTCGCACTTATTACAATAATTCACGCGTGATTAAACTGAAGTTATGTTAATGTCGACAGCGCGCTATGTAAAAATTTCTTCTCTATCATACTTATTACCCCCATCCGCCAGGGGTTGAATGCGCTCTATCCTTTTACTTCTCTTCCATATAGATGAAAGCGAAAAATATATGAGAAATGGGACATGGTGTGGATAAAAGATGCTGAATATGCAATTCAGCGTTAGTAGTTTTATGATCGATCGTGATAAATCACCCCTCTATACACAACTGGCATTTCCACAGAATCTCTCTTTGCCGACATTATTGAGATAGATCGAGAATATCGTATTAACTATACACTCATGATACTCAGCTTATGATTTAACGCGTTAAATTAAACCTTTTATGTCTTTTAATTCAAAAATTCTAAAGTCCTATTTTGTTTTTATATTTTTAAATTTATTACTTAATTTTAAATAAAAAATATTTCAGACGTTTGACATTGGAAGTGCAAATTTCCAATATCCTTAAAATTTTTTTGATATGGCTTGATATGACTCAGTATGTCCCTATTAGATCTGTCAAGGTTGTATATGCTCATATTTAATATTTTGATGAAAAATAATATTAAAAATTTCCGAGAGATGGCGTATGATCGCCAAATATTCTCTTTACCAGAGAGTTAAATTCTAAGTATTAAGATCTAAAATAGAAATTTTTGTTTTCACTTATCTTAATGAGCGTATCTGACATTGATCTTTAGTTTAATCAACCAGTAAATTTTTTTTTATTTATATAACGTATTAATTGGCGTACCTATTTCTAGGAACAATAAAAACTTATACAATCTAGTAAGGCAATGCATGGAAATTAGTAATGAAAATATCGAAGTAAGTATTAATATAAAAAATATAAATGCCAAAATTAAAAATTATCAAATAAAACGTGACTTTATATCATTGAAACTATGCCCGTAAATAAAAATAATTTCTCTGAATAAATAATATCTGTGTACGACTGGTAGATGTTTAAGGCTCTATCTAGCATATAGAATAGCTTGACAGGTTATTGGCAGTTGTGTATAGAGAGGTCGAGCTGAAAATGTTCCGAGCCGGGAACTAGTGTATCGAAGAGCTCATTTTCTTAGGTTTACGATGACGGGCATTGTTATTGGCACCGGTTGTACCCAACCTTGCAGCCTCTTTGTCGATATAGAGTTGGAGTATGCACACCCTATTCTGGTGTTAGATATAAAACTCAGTGCGTCAACACCACTATTGGCAATCACCTTCGTCTATCAGGGTGAATTCACTCCTCAGATGTTATCGACTCTTACATAAATATTTTTAATTCCCATTTCCGGAACACGCTCCGCTTAACGTTCATTATTATTGTTACTGTTATCACTGCTTTTACTCCAGTTTCTCCTAGGAAGAGCACCTCGAAACTAGGTCAAGCGACGAGCTCAAAAGTTTTAGAATCGGCAACTTTAAATAATCGGGTAATATCGTATAGGTAAAAATAATTAACTTCCGGAATTAAACGTCAAAGACTGTGATATCGAAAAATAAAAGCAGAAGGGAGCGAGTGTTTGGTATCGAATGTTCTTTGATTAACGATATCGTTTGATCACAAAGTGAGCAATGGGCTAGTAATTTAGGAGTTAAACCAACTGAGTAAATTAAAAGCTTACCTGCGACGATGGTGCCGACGTAAACGTTTTCTCGATTCTACGTCACTCTCTTCGAGGGTTATCACTGAAAATGGATCTTTGGTAGTCGATTCGTGGGAGCCTTGGTGCGAGTGACGTACCCGAGGGCTCTTTGATCCTAATTTTGGTGACCAGTCTTTGGATTTTTCTTCGAGATCTAGTCTACAATTTTTTTTTTAACAAAAAAAAAAAATGTTACAAATTTTTCAGCTGTGAAGACTGTGAAAAGATGATATGGAAGAGATAAAAATGATCGAAAGTATTTTTTTCCCGTTTAAATTGGGCTTATTGATGAAGTAAGAGAGAAATAGGTAGTTAAAGTCGCTGAGAGGGGACTAGTGTTCCCACTTTGCGGCAAGGCGGCCGCTGAGATTGGCCCGAGTGGTCCCGAGTGAGATGTAGTGGGGACACAGAGCGTATTTGAGGAGTGGGGATAGATATAAGTAGCTTGCGTGCGACTAGAGGAGTTTATTAGTCATTTTTTTTTGCATAACGGAGAAGGCTAAAGAGTATGAAATAATTTTCTTTTGATCAATTCATTTACGTCGACTCCATTTATCTCGTTAGAATATATTATTATTATTATTATTAATAGATATACCTAAAATCAAGATTAGAATTTTGATCCTTGTCATGCCTTTTGAATTCGAAATCAGACAGCTCTGGATTGGTATCGTATTGATTTCGGTCCGCAACAACAGGTTCTGTTTTTTCAAAAGACAAAACAGCTTCTGGTTGTTGACCTTTGTCTTTTCCACTTTGGAACTGTAGAATTTCTGTAAGAAATGTGAGTAATTAGTTTTATGGCTCTATAAATCAGGAAAAGAAATTGAGCTGCTTAATTAAACTTAGTGAGCTTTATAAAAAGTACGTAATTAATAAATTAAAAATAATTACCAGTAAGACCTTCCTCTTCAACTTGTAATCCCTCTTTAAGTACTTCGTCCTCATACTTTTCCAATTCTTCGAGGTAACTTTTATTCAATTTCTGTTTTTCCCATTCCTCTTGATACTCCACGTTTGGCAGGGCGATATCTTTTACGAAACCGCCTGGAAAAATATTTCACAAATTACATATATATATATATATATATATAATACTAAATCTAGTTCACAGAAATAAATAAAATTGTAAAATCGAAAAAGATTTAAAGTAGAAACAACATTTCCTGTTATTGTTTTATTTCCCTTTGTTAGTTATTTGGGTGTTTTTGTTTTCCGCTTAACCAAAGCATAACCCGTTTCAAACTGGGAGGGTCCATTATAAAAAACTAAAAGAAGGCAGATTGCAAAACTAAAACGAATTGTATGTCGATTTATCGGTATCCATAAATCACATGTTGGTTATCGACGTAAGAGTTTATATTCCGGTGGTTGTTATACGAGAATGAAGTAAACAGCTCCGATTCGTAACTTTTTTTCTTGTATTTTCGTATTTACTATCGGTACTCGGAGAATTTCTCAGTGTTCGTATCTGAGCAGAAATGAAAATAAAGTGAAGACAGTTAGACTCACTTGGAAGTTTCTTCGGAAACTGTAATTGCCTTGTGGTGGTTTGCGACAAAAACAAAAAAGTTATGTTAAGGTACACATTAAATAAAGTATATATTTATATTTAAAGGTTCAGATAGTGACATCCAATGTCGTATTTTCTTATTTCCTAATGGCTTAAGTTTTTTCGAGTATAAGTTAAATTATACTTAGAAATTCTTCTATCTTTCACACTCGGATGTTTATCGAGCGAGTCTTACAACTTTTAACTCCAAAATGGCATTATTCAATAACAGAATCAAGTTTTTGGTTATTTGAACTTTGAGCGCTTATTTACTGTTATTTTTCATGACATTCATTTGGAACTTTTGGGGTTGAAAGTAATTTTTTTGGATTGTTCTATTTTAAATCGGTAACACTAGGAAATATAGACTTTTTATTGAATTTCATCTATATTTTTATTTTGTATCTATATTTTGTTTTATACATCAAAAATTTTTAAATTTATGCAGATGCCGAAATGTAAGAAAAGTTTTTAACAATTTTGACTTAAATAATTTTTTTTTATTTTTTTGTATTAGTCCATTGCATTTGTTATAAATTGGCAGGAATTTTTTTTTTACAATTCTATTCTGATAAAAAAATTTAGCTGTCCACAAAAGTCCTTTGTAAAATCTGAACAATAAAAATTATACTTAGAGCTTTGAAAGGGAAAATTTTTTTTATTTTTTTTTAAATTCACATTTATAAAAATTTGCGAATTTAATTAAATCTTTTTTTTCGGCAACATAAAATATGATCACTTTTTACTTCAGCAATCAATAACTCATGAATTTCCACCATGATTTTTTTAATTTCATTGCTTTGGGCTCAAAGTATTTTTTTTTGCTTCACCAAAAATAGCATTCTGAATGCCGTTAATACTAAATTGAAATTAAAAATAAATAACCAAATCCATTTATTTAATCAGTGACTATTGGCCCGTACTCTCGGTTATTTCATCGGTACACTTGTTGGTATCAATATTAATTAATTTAATTTTAAAATGCATGCTGGACGGTAACCAGATAAAGACTAAACGGAAAACCGTTTAGTCAGATTCGTTCTATCATAATAATTAGTTATCTATTTATGTATCTTTCCCAATCCTCTCTTAATATGAACTGCACGTGTATTCACCGCATTAATAATGAATCACCTCAATTATATTAATTGTCAATTAATTTAATTATTGAATGTTTCTACTCTAACTACTTTCAAAAATACTCACAATAAATGTATTATTTATTTCAACAGTAATATTCTTTTAATTGAATAATAACTTTGGATTTAAAAAATAATTGCACTTATATAAAAATAAATTTTTTCCTTAAAATACAAAAAATTGACAGAACAATTACACTAATTTAAAAAAATTAACTGAATTAATGGTTTTCTTTTTGTAAATTATGAAAATTTTTAGATTTACAATTAACAAAAAAATATATAGTATGAAAAAAACCCGTACAACTTCAGACTTAAAAATTAACTCTCTCGTAAAGAGACAATTCGGCTATCATACGCCACCTATCGGAAATTTTTAACACTAAGTTAAATCGAAAAATTATATATGAGCATATATGAGAGATAGATGGCTTGATATGCTTATTTATATATGAAAAATGGCCATATCGAGTCTGATATGGACATATGAAGCTATGTCTAGTCAAATTTGTCTTGGTGTGGCCTTTTATGCTACGATATCACCTAATATGACTTTTTATGCCAATAAATGGCTAATTTTCTGATATGGACTTATTACGACATATCAGAAAATTTTTCAAGGGACATTTAATATTAATTCCTGGATTTACAACGATAAATTAACACTCAATCAAATTGCCTGGATAATTTTCTCTGAAAAGGGAAAAAAATTAATTAATTACACGAAAGTAATCGTAAGTTTTTCAAAATGACAATCATAGAGGAGAAGTGTTGAAATAAACAAGTTGAGTAATAATTTTTGGCAAAGTGCCGAGTGTTACTGAGTGAAATGTGACCGGTAAACCGCAAAAAAGTACGTACTAAAGAAGTTTACTCGAATCGGAGTCGAGTAATGCAGTAATATAATGTGTAATAGGTATAGGACCAAGTTGTGTGAGTGTTCAGCGTCACCTATAATAAAAGTACACGTAAAAATAAAAAAGTATATCACAAAATAAAATATAACAAAGAAATAGAGTTTAAAATTAGTGTTTTAATTTATTAAAGCGCGAATTAAGAATGGCAAGATGACGGAAGTGGTTTTCGGTAGAACACTCTTTTGGAAGTCTTTTCATCCTTTGTCAACCGTACCTCCCTCCCCTTCTGCTCACCCACGCTATTTTTTTTCCACGGCTTAGTTTAGTTTTCTTTCTACTATTTTTCTCCAAGACTTTTCACAGAGTACGTTTTTTTTTATTTTTTACCCACAGTCTTTTTGGACCTTTTATCACTGTCCTTCCATTTGGTGCTTTACACCCTCGACCATTTGCAAGAACACTCTTGACAACTGGTAACTCGTCAATCTTCTGTTACTCACAGGTTCACTTAACTTAACTTCATTTCATTGGGTTTTTTAACGCTTTTCTCCTCTTTTTTATCTCTCACTTACACTTGATTTACATTGTTAAATCATTTTTCACTGGATTTTTTAAAATTACATTCATTTATTTTATTTTATCCTTATCTACCCGTTATTTTACTTTTTTACTTTTATCCGCTTTGTACCTTTTTTGTAAAGATAAATTTAATTATGTGATCAAGTATTATAGTTAATTTATTTAAAAGCTTCTTCTTTCACTTTTTTACAAGTGACAGTGATAAGAGGACTCTGCTCCGCTGAATATAACTTTTATTATTATTTTTATCTAACGGGGTAAAGTCGAATATTTTTGGATTAAGTGAACTTGCTTTCATTTTTATAAATTAGCCTACTTTACTTCCTGGGGAGATTTTATAACATAGTTAATATAAATCTTTTTTAAGTAGTGAATATATATTGCATGTGTTTTATATTCTTTTCCTTTTTCACACGTTTAAGAATACATTTTCAAGTAATCTTTACATGCTTTTATATGACCTGATATATAAGCATATATATATATATGCAGTAAAAATAATTTTTTTGACTCTGTATAATCAAGATTGTTGTAGAAAATTTTTCTTTACTAAAAAAAATGATAAAAATATTTATTATTGTTTGAAATTGTCTGATCTATTTTTATTGCAAGCTAAAAAAGTTAACAAATAATAAATAGCTTGACACTTTTTAAAATGATTATTTTTAAAGCCGCTTAAGTGAAGCGTAAATAATTACCTACATATTAAGTACGTGACTAAGTACAGCAGATATTCAAATGAAACCGATTATTTTAATGGTCGTTTTACGACTCGTAATAGTCATTTACTTGAATCCGATTATCATGACTTACGAAATAATTTTTTTTATATAAGTCTAGATAAACATTTTTTAATAATTAATCATTTGGAAAATTTTGTAAAACTAAATCGTAATTAATTCGATACCATAATTAAACCTAACGCTTAATACTCGAAGTAGATGAACAAATTCTCTCGCAATCAATCTTTATTCTTTTTATCTACAAGCTTAATTCGTAGATCCGTCGCTGCTTTATTGAATAAATTAATTTGCACTCGAATTTATTTTAAGGACTTAAGATTCGAGTTTAATTGTCTTAAATTATCAAAAAAATTTATCGACCTTATATAATAAATTGAAAAAAAATTTTTTTTGTGGAAAAAAAATATAAATCGGAAGTTGGTGTCGTAAATTTGCGGAGGTATATGGCCAATTTAAAATTTTAATAGCCGAATCTTTTGTGTGCGTATACATGGACAAAAGCCGCACAATTGTGGCCAGCAGCCAATCAGGAAAATACACGAACCGACGGCAATCTCCGGATTGATTCATCCACACCTTCATTTTTTATTCATCCTTTTTCACCTTCACTGGTATGATATATAAAATTTATATATGTAGTGCACAGCATAGCATTGACTGGATCCGACTATCCGTTATGCGATACTTCATTTCATTTCATTTAAAAAATCAACTTCTTCATCCGAAAGATTCATCGAAAAATAAAAAAAAAATAATATTTGGATTTCAAGTCTCGATTAAATTTACGGTTCGATTGACGGGTTTTTTTTTTTTATACCCCACGATCTCTATATCTGTATTTGCACTGGCCATTAAAAGTATTGCCGTGGCTGATGAAAATGGGAAAAATAAATTAAAAAAAAAATGGGTTTAATAGTGACTGAGACCAGCACTCACGGTTAATAAGGTGAGACTTAACTCTGTCAACGTGCGTGTCGTGTATTGATTTAAACAGAGAGAAACAGACGAGACTAGTATAACTATATTTATGGTGAAAAATGAATAAATTTGATGAAATGGGAAGCATTATATTTATTCTTTAAATTCTCCGTCAAAATTTAATATTTACTCTGACGTATATATGAATTCATTTAGATTTTTTTATTCGATATTCTCCGAGAATCATTTGTGATAATGATAAGAAAATTATATTATTTTAATTATTATTATTATTGTTTTTTTTTGTATAGTTTTGGGGATTTTTTTCATTAGAAAAAATTACCAAATTTTTTTTTAATAATGATACGATTTTTTCATGGGTCATTGTTATTATTATTATTATTATTATTAGAAATAAAATTATAAAATAACTTGATGACACTTGTCATTTTTTATGACGAGCGTAGAGTACTTTTCCTGTTTAAAACAATGAAAAAACAAGTGAGTGACTCTTCTGAAAAATTATTTCAATCGGCTATTTTCAACGAATTCATTTTTTTCGTCCTCGAAACAAAAATCCCTCAGCCAGTGGCCTCTCGGGACTTGAAACTCCGAATATGATGGGACGGAGCGATGAGTATCCCAGTATAACTTGTTGAGAGCTTTAAAAATATACGATTAACACGATATATGTACCTATAGATAAAAAAAATGATAAAGGATGCGGGAGTTGAAAAATCTGTAGCCCCGTATTTCGTTTGGTTGACGCCTTCGCTCGGAATATTCATTGTCAATTTCATTTTATTTTTGATTTTTCGTTCTCACATTCTCTGTCGTAAATTCTCCTTGACACATTTCCGCTGTGAAACAATTAATTCTCTCCCCCTTTTTTTTTTTTAAATTTTATTCATCATTATTCATTAATACTGAGTTTCTGTATACGTATACTTACCTATATTACATTAATAACTCAAAAGTAAAAATGTTAATATATTATTAATAGAGTATACATTAAAGATCCCAAACAAAGCGAGTACACGCATCGGCAAATGATAACCTTTTACCCCTGATCCGTCTCTCTCAAATCTTTCTCAAAAGTTCGGAAACCCTCTTACTGATCAATTAAACTCAACGAAATTATGTGAAATAACGTTATTACTGAAATTACTAAAACCCAATATGTCGTTCCGGCTAATTATAAGACTTGTCATAAATTTATGCTTTCAGCAATCAGTTACTATATATAATAAAATAATAACCAAAAAATATAAACCTAACCTAAACTCAAGAGCTTCAGAATGCAGAACACAGAAACGAAAAAAATATTTAGCATAATAAATGACACACGTGCGTTAGTTCACTTTTGTAAAAAGAGACTGCCCTAGAATAATATTATAATGTGGGTCAGATACGCCTGGAAAGGACAATGAAATCGTGAGGCGAGCAGCACACGTGAGATTCCACTGGCCATAAGGATTAACTAAGCGGACAAAACTTAAACGCTAGCGTACTCTACCGGAAATTGACTTACTGATCGCTTCTGACATTTCCATCTCACAAAACACTCTCCCATACTCATATAAATATGTTTATATTGTAATTGTGTGGGATCGCATGTGTGGTTGAATGAAATTTTCCTTTTAGTGGTTTTTTTTTATTTTATCGTTTTACTTTTTGATAACCTTACAGTTGTTTATTATTTACATTCATTTAACTGTATTTGTGATTGTGGTAATATGTGTAGCTACTTCAGCACAATGTAATTAGAATATGAGGAAAATTATTTTGAAAACCTTTTTTACGATTAATTAATAGTATTATTATGAACATTTTTTTTTTTCACTAATTTCTAACGTTAACTTAATTTTTAAACTTAAAAATTTTTTAAAAAAATTACAACACAAAAGCTTACATTAAACTAAATTGAATTTGTTGATAATAATAAATAATAAATATTATCTTTCGCTGATCCAAAATTCACAGAAGAATAAAGCAATAATAAAAACGAAAAATCTGTTGTGCATTATGATTAATATCGCGAGCATTATATTCAAAGCGTAGACTAGGGATATAGGAAGTATTTCACCCTCTATATGTACCCTTAAAAGCTCTCGTCAACACGATTAATGACAGGTCGAGCGCACCGGACGTTGGAAAGTCGTGAATTTGATGCTGCGAATCGTAAATACATATATATCGGAAGTAACTGACTGCAAATCTCCACGCATACATTTCCGTTGATATACATGAGTGTGAGTGTGTGTGCGTGTATGTATAGACATGTATAACAGTATGTATAACAATAATGGCAATACCCAGCTTTAACATCCGTTTTAATAATGCAGCATACGAGGTGGACGGAGACAGAACCAGAAAAGGTTTAAATGGGAGCGAGAGGCTCTTTAAATGATAAATAAATAAAATAACCGATCGTGAATGTATTTGAGGCATGAATGTGTGTGAGAATGTAATCAAGGACCGAAACCCTTTCTGCTCTTCCTCTTTCTCCTCGCCAGGCCGTATATTTATACATGAGCCTCATGGCTTAATTAATAGCACCTGACCATGGTTAGTTGGGGTGTGTGGACACAGATACACAGGGGTATTGCTGGTACCATAAACTAACCACACTCGGACCCTCAGCATCCCCCGGTAGCTCTAAACCACGTATACTTTAGCCCAACGTCAACTAAACCGTTTCAACCCTTGGGCGTAAACAGAATTTCATCAACACTGCGTGTGTCTGCACCTGATGCGCTCTATATATCTTAACTTTACAATTACTCTGTTTAATTGTGAGATCCGACTCATTACGCCCGGAAACTAGTTACTTATTATTTTTAGTTTTAGTTGCAAATTGTGGTATTGCTTTACAAAGTGCTTTACATTGATTTGTAAATAAATTTTTATTTTAGGAATCTTAATTAGTTTTTTTAATGAAGCAAGAATAGAAGATTAAATTTTACATTGCGAGTTTTTATCAAATTTCTTTGCAAACATGTGTGGGAACATTTATGAAGTCATATGTAGTCATATGGAGAGACATGTGGAAGCGAATATGCAGTTATATGCATACATAAAAATAATTATACAGACATCTATGAGAATATATGGATGAGATCAATGGAGTTATATGTGGAGATTTATCTGTGGTCTAATGTGAAGTCATATGTGGAAGCAAAAATGTAATTATATGTGCAGGCATATATAGAAAAATTTATGAAGAAATTGATGAGAATATTCGGATTGACATATATGAAATCCTATGTCGAGATATATATGTAACCATCTGTGGAGACATGTATGTATTTAGTTTTTATTTTTTCATGTACTTTTTAGAACGAAATTATTCAAAGTCGTCACCAAACTACCATCTTGTTAATAACTTTTAAGCTCTCCATAATCATAACCTTTATACAACAACTTGATTAGTCCAAATCCATTCATAACTTTACTATCAAAAGACACACAGAGACCATTAAAAGTTTCCCCAAAAAATCGAAACCCAAGAAACTCTGACTTACATTCTAAATAATAACAACAATGAAAGTTTCTAAATTAATAATAACGATTAAACTTAACAGTGAGCAAGAGTTTCAATAGCCTCACGCGAATCATCGAAGCGATGCACACTATCTATGTCTATCTCCTCACCCGTTCATACGTCTACTTATCAGTGCTCAGTACCCACTGTCTCTCTCAGCTGATTTTGATTCGCTAAAACGTTCTCTCTCTTTCAATAGGAGTCTCTTTTCAGAAAGCTTAATTGGTTCGCGTCAATTAGCGAGCGAGCTCGTTAGCGGTAAGCGCCGGACGTCGGGTATTACTTGTCTTTTTTTCTGCTAATACTACTGCTACTGTTGTACTTAAGAAGATACGATGGACAAATCGGCTATTATGAACTACTTTTAACTGCACCATTTCAGCCATTACCCATTAGCTCCAAATTTTTATTTTTTTTAGTGCACAATTCTAAGCCGGTACTTTACTCTTACTTCACAAAATCAGTTTTGCTACGGATGCTTGTGTGCAAATGTCAAATTTTGAAAAAAATAAAAAAAAAACACAAAAGTTTTCACAAAAGATGATAGAAATAAAAAATTTCATTATCACATTTCCAAAAATTTTGTTATTGATCGATCGTATGATTTTCAGGCGCTTCGTATGTCCACTCGCAATTATCGTAAGCCCTGTAATTAAATGGATAATTTGGTGACTCCAAGGCGACGGGATTGTTGACATTCACCAATGTTGGACTTGTACCGCATTTTTTTCTAAAAAACACACTGAACCCATTATTCCCGTTAATTTTTGTCGTTTTCAGATAAGTCACTAGCATGTTATCACCACCAACGAGGTAGAGTGTTCCTTCTTTATTTGTTCCACAGTATCGACCTGAAAAAAAAGTTCCAATGTATGATAAAAATAATAATTAATGTATGAAGACTTTCAAGTAATAATATTCACCTAACAGTGGACTTTTATCTGAATGACCATTTCGTATTTCCAAAAAATCGCTTGCACAATTATGACTCACGAAAATGTTTGTTGTCGAAACGTCGAGTATTATTCGTTCCCCTTTAGAAGCAACAATTCGCCACTGACAGTATTCTAGATTTGAGTCAGAATCATTGGAGCTGACAGGAGTCTCTATGAATCCAACTACGCCATAAAAAACACCTCCGCAAGTCGGACATTTATATAGAAGATTAGTAGCCTTAACGTCACCCTGGCTTAGATTTTTTTGGTTGCCAATGTTTGGTACTGTGCCGTTAATAGCTTGCTTCGGGACTATTGTAGCCCAAAAACTGTAATATGCATAAGCATCGTTTGGATAATGCATCACAGATTGGTAATCGTAGGGCAGTCCTAAAGTATCGACATGCACTCGTGAGAGCCGCCAAAATTCTGATTCATAACCTGGATAACAAATAAATGAGATTTTTTATTTTTACAGTAAAATTACAATCTTCGCCATGAAAAATTTACCTTGATCAATATTCCTCTCGTTGATTTGAACCCACTGGTCGCGGTCTGGATGTTGGTGCTCATGGTAAAAGCCCAAAACGTGCCCCAATTCATGAAGAATAATCTCTATTGCTTCACATCCATCAGCTAAGCTCAATTCACTGCGACCTTTATTTCTGCGACCTTGGTAATTCTCCTTGTAACAACACCTATTTTGAAATCAAATTATCCAATTTTATTGATTGCACTTTTTTTCAATCTGATAAATGATAGAAATATCAAGTGATATAAATAAAATAATTACCCGCATTCCGATTTAGTGATGGCGACATAATCTCGATGGATACTCGAATTTCTTTGGACAAATTGAATGCAACTTGACTCTTCCCACATCCGCATACCTTGTTTTATTAATCTACGTTCCGTTCCATTAAAAATTTCATCTATTTGGTAATAAACAATCGCTTCGTTCCAAAGATTCTTTTTTTCCTTCAAGGTTACCGACTTTTTGACTTTAAGTAGAAGATCTTCTAGTTTTGTTATTTCACTAGCACTTTGATTGAGGGAAACCTCATGTATTAGGTAGGAACTTATCATTTGTGTCATTAGCGACACTATTTGAATAAAAAGTACTAATTTTAATTTCATTGCAATTGATTAATACAAATTGAATACGTCAAAATTACTGATATAAGTTAAAACTCCAAAAGCAAAGTTAGTAATGAAGGCTATAAAAACTTGGATTTGTAATTATATTTTTAATTACCCGATAATTCCTATCAATTTCTTAGCTTTAATCCTAATATCTTTCCTAATCAATCCTAATAGTTAAAGTTATTAATGGCATAATTGAGAAATATTATTTCTGTTAAATCTTCCGTTAAATGTTCTAGAGTATTATTGATAGATAAAAATGACTTAATATGAGAATCGTTGAGTAGATATATTTTTTTTTGATAAGTTTTAATTAGATTTTTATCAGTATTTCTATTAAATTAATAGTTTCGACATTTGAAAAAACATCAAATTACTGAAATATGTCGACAGCTTGATAATTGTTTTTTTTTTCTACGCACAAATATTTCAATTATAGATTATTATTGTCTAAATATTTCTTCATAATTCTGCGCATCAACTTTTCACACCAATAAACTTATCGTAATATATTAATAACATCATGTGTGTTTAAAAATGTAATTTATTTTTTTTTTTTCTACAAAACAATAGCAATATATTTTATAACAAACATATTAACAATAGTGGTACTACGTCTTATAACTAGATAATAGTGGCCGCACATAATACTTATGATCATACCCATCATTAGCGCATACGCGTATACGTAGTAAACAGAAGTAAAAAAAAATGAATCGATTGTATTGAATAATTGCGGATGAATATTGATTTAATCTGCTAAGTTTAGCGAGTCAAAAATCAATTGATTCAACAGAAATGTCAGCTTGAAAGCCGACGCCGACGTTGTTATTGTTGCTAGAAAATTTAATAAAAATATTATTAACGCCAGTATCAACTTCTCCAGGATTTTGATTGCCACAGTAACGTCCGATGACGGGCATTTCGTGTTTAGTAGCATCTTCTATCTGAACGAAGTCGCTTTTACAATCAGGACTGGTTTCTATAGCGAAGAAATTGAATTCAACTTTTATCTTGTAATTATCAGGCGCTTTGAATTCCCACAGACAATTGCTGAATGGTTCATAAGCATCTGGGTAGTTTGGTGACTTCAAATCATAGCTTTTAAATTCATTTATAGGTATCACAGTACCTATTCCACATATTACTGCGTAATTAATTCTAAAACCAATATTAGGTTCGTTTAAATTAGTCGACCTTATGTATGTTACTACTGCGTAATGGTCAACTAGATGTGTAATTATAGTTTCATGTGTCCCACAGTACCGACCTGAAAATTTATGTAGTTCATTGCATGGAATTACAATTTTATATAAAAATTAGACATAATTTATTGGTTAAAAAAATTCTTTAAATTATAAAATATCTGCTAAATTAATTTTCATTAAGTTAATATCACAACAAAATGACTACACTTACCTAATAAAGTAGTATTACTCTGGTAACCCTTTCGGATTTCGAGATAATCTGAAGTACAATTGAAAGATTTAAAAATATTTGATGTCGAAAGCTCCAAAAGTATTTTTTCTCCTTTCGCTGCAACTACTTTCCATTCGCAATGAATTATGCCCGTTGGAAAATTAGCCTCTAAGTAAGGTGGCGATTCGATAATCCCGTATTTGTCGTAGACAGTACCTCCACATACTGTAATAATTAATTATTTAATGATATTGAAATTAACAGACATCTATCAATTTTTTTAGTTTTTATAACAAAAGTTATTATAAAAAAATCATAATAAAAAAAAATTCTACATCTAGAAATTAAAAAAAAAATTACAAGCGCAAAATTTTTCAAATCGATTTGTAATAAAAATTTGACATAAGAAATTTTTTTTTTTCATTTTATACCAATAAAATTATTATAAAAAAATTCAATTATAAAATTCCACATATCAAAATTACAAAAAAATTATTAGTGGAATTTTTTTATTTTATTGTAATTGATTTGTTGTAAAGATTAAAAAAAAATAACAGTTTTCAGTTAAGTTCAGTTTCATTAATCTACAAAGATGATGTTAAGATTTGAATAAAATTACTTGGACAGTTATATAGAATATTGACAGCTTCAATGTCTCCGCCACTGAGAACTTTTTTATTGCCAATATTTGGTATTTTCCCGTCGACACTTTGTTTCATAACTATCGTAGTCAAAAAATTGAAGTATGCAAAGACATTCTTTGAAAAATGCATCGTAGAATGGTAATCATAGGGCAATCCTAAAGTATCAACCTCCGCTCGTGAGTACCGCCCAAATTCTGTTCGATACCCTGCAAAAAAATTTATCTAATTCATTTCTTCTTACAGTAATGGATGAATCAACAATGTTGTAACCGCGAACAATGTTATCAAACCTGGCTCAATATTCATAAATAGGATTTCAATGTACTGGTCGCGGTCCGGATGTTGGTGTTCATGGTAAAAACCCAAAATGTGTCCCAATTCATGAAGAACAATATTTATTTCTTCACATCCATCAGCTAAACTCAATTCATTGCGACCTTTGTTTCTTGGCTCGTTTTCGATATAACAACATCTGGTATTTTTAAATCAAATTAAACAATTATTGTTGATTGCACTTATTTTTAATCAAGTGCGTAACGGAAATATTAAATGATATATTAATAAAATAATTACCCGCAATCCAATTTAGTAAAGGCGACATAATCTTGATGGACATCCGAATTTCTTTCGACAAATTGAATGCAACTGGACTCTTCCCACATGCGCATACCTTGTTTTATTATCCTACGTTGGAAGTCAGTAAAAATATCATCTATTTCGTAATGAATGATCCCTAAGTCCCAGAGGTCACTTTTCTCCTTTACAACTACCGATTTTTTGACTTTATTCGGAATCAAATTTTTTTGTCTTGTCATTTCACTAGCATTTGGTATATCAGAAGTCCCATGTAGTACGTATGAATTTATCATCTGTGTCATTAACAATATTGTTTGGATAACATGGATTGATATTAATTTCATTGTAATTGTCAACACAGATTAAATACTCAATATTATTGTATTAATTTAAAAAAGTCAATATTTTAAGAAACTTTAGAGAAGAAAAAAATAATGTGTGCACGACCGAATTTATACTACAAAAATAAATAACTGATTTTTAATTTTAACTTTAATGTCTCCTGTAAAAAATAAATAATTATTTTCCAATTATACTCATTGGAAAGTACTTATAATATCAATCGATAAGAAAAACTATCGATTATAAATTTAAACTAAATTTTATTACTAATAATAAAATAATATGTCTAATCATAGCAACATCTTGGTAATTAATTTTTTATGGATACTTTAATTGTACTTGAAGGATATTTTAATTTCTAATTATTTTTGAGCATCAAGTTGTAATAATAAAATTTTTTTATTCTTGTACAAGTTTATAATACTAGTAGGTACATAAACTTCAATATTGTATTAAATAAAAATGGATTCGGAATAATGAAGTATATAATAATAATTAATGATTAATAAGTAGAAAAATGGATTGAATAAAAATGACTGTTCTTATTATAATTAAAATTAATTATTAATAAACAATACATTAATGTATAATATATACAATTTATTAAAGATAATAAAAACAAAATGTTGTAATTATAAGTATATTAATAATATGCCTCTAGTAATTAAACAAAACTTTATTACGAAAAGGTTTAATTTCGATGATTATTTAAATGGATGAAATCATATAATAGCCATCATCATCATTAAAGTTATTTTCGGTATATGAATATCATATTTATGTAGCATATATTTAATAAACTATTGCATATTAATACATATATTCATATTAATAGCAATGGTCACCATTCAATAATTATTTTATTCAATGTTTCCATGTTTGTGTGCCTTATTCAGAGTATATCGCGAGTGATTTAGTTTCAAAACTCATTTAGATAAATTATAATTATATTAATTATCATTCTGTCCACTCATCATCATCATTATCATCACCTTACTTAATATATATTTTTTAATAATAGATTATCGCGTACAAGCGTGCAACAAATAGAGTAGAGAAAAAGCCTCGACTCAATTCACGTTTATTTCTTCATATTTATTTATTTATTAATTAATATAATTATTTCTTCTTCTTTATCTTTATTTTGTTTTGTTTTATGAAACTCTAACAATACAAATAATAATAAAGAGAAGTTATTTATTTATATAATATTGTTTTTTTTTATACTCTGTACAAAGAAAAACAAATTTTTTCGCTTTTAAATATTAATAATCATTGATAATTGTATTATTACTTAATTAATATAATAACTTTAATATTAATTTATATTAATATTATCCACAATAATTGGTGCCAGATTATAATTAATTAATATTTATATATAACTAAAAAAATATAATAAAATATATGGAAATTAATTTAAAAAATAAAACAATTAAAAATTATTTTTTGTTAAGAAGACAATGATAATTTTTTTTTTTTTTTCCGGTTTTTATTTAATATTAATTTTATCGACCGAGTTTTGTTTGATATTTTTGTTATCAGAAATATTAATATCCGAGACTGCACATCACGTGGTTTACTTATGTCATTTTATTAAAATTTTTTTATTTAATTACACGGGAAAATTGATAATTTATCAGCATCAGAAATTTAACAATTGTTAATATAATTTTCTGTGCATTTAAAAAATTTTTTTTACTTCATTGGCTAAATAACTTAAATGAAAATAACAGTTCAAAAAAGCAACACACTATGGTGATATTTATAATAAAATTTTTTTTCATTTAATTATTATTTATTTTTCTTATAATAATTTTTTTATTTAATAATATAAGTTTATCTTAGAAGAAATCTTTGCTTGTCTTGTTAAATATTTTTTTCACTTTCGATGCAAAGCGCAAGTGCAAAGCTAGGCCATTTTGTGGAAATGAAGTTCAATTACTTCATTTCTTCCGTTAATTAATTAATTAATTAATCAATTAATTTAAATTAATCTTAACTAGCATTTTAGTTTCTCACGAAAGCCAATCAAGTTAAATAATCGATTAATTTAATAATTATCTAATATACTCTAATTAATAATTAAATTTTGTTATCGAATCTCACTTTTTTATTTAAAAAAAAAAAATATTAATTTCACATTTGTACCAGCTACAGTTTATCTGAAACCTGCTTTTTAAAACCAAAAATCCTACATTTACTTATTTTAATCATTGCCAATTATAAATTTAAATTCCCAAATTTATGAAATTGCACAAATAAAATCATCTAAAAGAAATCTCATTTATGCTCGATATCAATTTAATCGATTTCCAGCAAATAAAAAAATAAATAAATATTATTGGGATTAATAAAAATCGGGAATATATTTCAAAAATCTAATTATTTTGTGTTGTATATATAATTAAAATGCATTCATATAAATTTTAGTATTCTAGCAAATAAATCATATTTTTATTTATAAATTTAATTAAGTTAACAAACTCACTCCCTTGTAATTTACAACAAAAAGAAAAAAAAAATTAATTAATTAATAAAATATATTTATAATAAACTAACTGCATTGAGTTTGAAAATTGATTATTAAAATGGGGAATGAGTTAATATTTGTTTCGATGGATTGAATACATCATGAGATAGTTAACAAATTAAAAACGTAAAAACATTCAACAATACATTATATAGTTAGTTATTCCTCATTTATCCGTCGACGTTAATGTGATGGCAGTCTTGAGTCCTGGAAAGATGCGATAATTGTTGCTCGGCTTTTCTATATTATTATATTATTATCAATTTTTGTCAAAATTTTATCTTCCGTATAGTAGTTTTAATTATTATTATTATTATTATTATTATTGTTATTATTTATTATTTATCGTCTTGCTTGTTCGTACTTAAATCTTGAGTCTAATTTACTTATGGTAAGCTTTTTTTATTGGCAGTGTCTGTAAACAAAAAGAAAAAAAATACATACATTATTAATAGAATAAGTAATAAATAAAAAAATAATTAATTCAAAATTTCGTTCAATTTTAAATAAAAAATTTTTCACATTTAAAAAAATTTTATTCAATTATTAATAAAACTCTATAGCTTCTGTCAGCACATAATCTTCTATTAATAACAATATTATCCGAGCAATTTTAATCAATCCTTCCAAAAAATTATCTAGTCTATTAATTTCAGCGAATGCGACATTAATGAGACATGAGCTAAGCAATTTTGCAGGAGCTTGATAATAAAATTTTTTACGAAAATTTGAATATATAAAATAAATTTAAAAAAAATACATACTCGATTAAAAACTACCTACGCCTCGACGGACTTCTTCTTCTCCTTCTTCTTTTTGAGGAAAGATGGTGTCCTGAGTCCCTTCTTCTTCTTCTTCTCCTTTTTGGGCGACTCCTCGCTAACGCTCACATCCTGTGACATGGAACCCTTAACATGGAAGGTCCCAACCAATGAACATACAAAACCCTCATGCACATGCAGTAATTCTACCTCTTATAATTATATAAATCTATTTTTTGGTATCAACTATTTCTTCAGAAGAAATAAAATTTTATCATGCCAGCAAGTTCTATTGTAATTTTAATAAAAAATTTTTCAAAAATAAGCTCTAGAATATTTAAATATGTTGATACTTAAGTGAGTAAGTATGGACTTAAAAATTAGTTATGAAATGAAGTACGTGAAATATTGTAGATGTCCTTTTAGGATTTGATGAATTTCTTTAATGATTTCTGGTGTAATTTAAAGAAATCGCTAGTTTTTTAATCATTTAATCATAAAATACAAATAAATTTATTAAAATAAAATTTTTAATAAAAACTGACTCAAATTTTAATTTAAAAAATATTAGCGATTACTTTAAATAATTAATAAAAAAATATCAATGATTACACAAATGAGATGAATTAGAATGACATGATTTAATAATTTAAATTATTAAAAAAATTACCTCTTTGCTGCTATGAGAAAATGTACTATGATGCGCATCTGAATGGTCGCCATTAACTGTATTCTCACCTATAACAAATATCAAATATGTAGTCCAATTACTCTCAATTAAATCCAACTTAATTAACACAAATATAATTAAAAAAAAAAAAAAAAAAAAAAAAAAAAAAATTTACTAGAAGGGAGAAGAAATAATTGGCAAACCCTTACCTCGGAAATAATATTTGTTACTTGTTAACTTGATGTTGATGAGTAATTAAAATTATGTCATAAGTGCGTGCTAGTTTTTTTGTAAAATGAAATAAAAATTGCAACAATGCAAGTGCAGGCAATGTGCATTAAATTTTAAAAATGAAAGAGCTTGTAATAAATGAATTCTTTCATTTTTTAAATGTAAGAGTGTTTATTGTTGTTTTTTTTTCTTCTGTTTATTTATATAAATGTAGACGTATAAAATGTTTTGTTTCAAAGCAACCATTGACACCATGTTTAAAAAAAAGTAATAAATTTTACATAATATTCCCAAACACCAAAAAGTAAATTATAAAAATTATTTTTTAATTTTTCTATTTTAATGATAGTGTTGTTTTTTTAATAAAGTGAACAAAGCCGCTTATTTATCAATATTTAAAGTAGGTATTTACATATAAGCTAACATTTATTACACTTAAAATATAATGGTAATTTTAATTGTAATAAACATTTATTTTTTAATTAAAAAAAATAAAGTGAAAAGACAAATAATTAAGCAAAGAAAGTTTTTGTCTTTCTTTTGATATCTTTAATATTAATTGAACAAAGTAAAAAATAATAATAATAAGTTACCATTATATTTTTTACATAAAGAAAAATATTAACATAATAATGTAATACAAGCAATATTTTTTTTTAAATTAAATTAATAAAAAAATGAAATTGTTAATAAATGATAAAGATTAAGTACGATAACATAAAATAATAAATATTAAATATCACGTGCGAATATTTAATCAACAACAATAATACCAATTAATTTTGTTATTAATAATCCAGATTATTAATACCATAGATTAACGTTAAAATTAATAACGTAAGGGCCAATAAAATATAATATTAATAGCACTAATTAATAATAAGATAAAAGTAAGTAGACGTTAAGAATCAACCAGTGAATCTTGGGTGATATTGCTGTCAATAGAATAATTTGAGTCGGTTAAATTCATTTTACTGACAACTTTACACAGAGTTGTGTTTTCGTACTTCGGCGGTGTCTTTATAGGCGAGACATTTAAAGTTATATTGCAGTTAATGTTTTCTTCTTGCACGACTTGTCGCTCCAGTCGTATAAAATCGCGCGTATCCGTGGACATGGTCATCAAACAATTGTTACATGTGTCATTTTTTTGTAACATAAATTCTTTCTCGCTGTTATTCATTATCAAACTATCACAAAAATCGTCTATTGATAAATTTTTGAGATCATCAGTGCAAAAATATTTCGAGCACACGCTGCATTTTTTTTCAGTACAATCATTATCATTATAATTATAGTTACTATTGTTATTAATAACATTAATATCACTGTTTTTATCTTTATTACCATTGTAACCATTAAAATTCTTATAATTAGCTTCTTTTTCATTGTTAGTAATGCCAGACTTATCAGAGTCGTAGAAAGAAGAAAGGTCTGCCATGTTGGCGGTAGTGTCGCAAGTGTTGAAATTATTCTCTGAAAATGAATCAGATTTTCTTAAATTACTCGACACATCTGCATTATACATCGTATCATGAGGAATCCCAACTATTTCTGAGGTGCAATCATCATCAGCATCGTTATCACTTATCGTGTAAGTTTCGCTGTTAACTTCATTGTTGTCACTTCGCGGAGTTATTGTTTGAGCAGATTGGTGAGATATACATGTTTCAAAACTCTCCGGATTCGATAGTTCTTCTTGACAAGAATGAAATTCTGTTAATGATGATGAGGTTTGTTTTAACTCATTGACATTCTCAATTGAACAATGATTTTCATCCAAATCACTCACAGGTTTGTTAAAGACTGTTTCTCTAATAATATTAATATCATCATCATCATCATCATCATCATCATGATAAATATCATTGTTAACATTTTCGTAGATAATTTTCAAATCATCATCTTCTCTGAAAATATTTTTAATACTCATTATCACTACCGAATCTGAATCATCATCAGATACATCTTCTGGCTTTGCATTGACATCAGGCACAACTTTGTCAATATCAATGTCATCTTCATCGATTTCTTGTATCAATTCTAGACTGCAAACGCTGTCAACTTTGGTGATCTTCATTGGCGAGTTGATATTCCTAATCGGAGAACTGTTGAAGCAAACCTCATCTTCAGATTCTGATTCTGATTCATCGTCTTCAGAAATAGTGGAAAGAGAAATCTTGTCTTTACACCGGGTAATAGAAACATTAAGAGCTTCATCAAGGCAATCGAGACGCAGGTCGTGATGCGTTGGATAGTGGACAAGTGGCTTAGCATCAACAGTATCCAGTATGTCATCGACATGATCGTATTCTACAAAAGTCGTTGAAATATTTCCATTGTAACTGCGCTCTATTTCAGACTCAGCCATTTCCCAGAGCTTCAAAGCTTCTTTCTCACCATCGCTCAGATTCTTCACCAAGCTATCACTCTCATCACTCTCTGATGATTCTCTTCCATCAGAAGACTGTGCTCCTGTTTCCTGAACTTTTTCAGCTTCATCAACCTCGTTCTGAACTTCTTGACCGCTACTCACTTCACTTTGGTACTCAATGATACAAAATTTAACAGTTTTACCGGTAACTTCATTCTTTTCCTTGCTATCATCCGACTTGGTATTATCAACTGACATTTCTTCGCGTTCAGACTCTTCATTCTGCTCAGAACTGTTAACAGCAATATCTTCTTCACAATGACCATCAACTTCCATTGAATCAATCTCTTTACCAGCAGTGTTATCAATGTTAACATCATCAACATCTAACTCAGTCAAAGAAGCTTGGCTGTTCTTAAAAATCTCCTCCACTTGGTTCTTGAACTGCTTCAGCGCATAAGAGTAAGTAGAGTCACCATTACTGGTCTCTAAGCCATCCAAAGCTTTGGAGGACTCATCAACATTAACCTGCTCGACGATGCACTTAAGTTTTTGTAGAATTTCACTCGACTCGGCTGCTGTTAACTTCCCGTCAGGATTCAAATGCAAGTCATTGATAACTCCTGAGAAGAATATTTCCTTTATTCTACTTTCATCCAGAGAATTAACGTCCTCAGTGATTGCCTTCAGCTTGTTAATAAAGTCCTCTTTACTTTCTCGACACTCGACATTCTCATCAACGATTTTTAAACTAGACTCCTGTTGACTTTGCATTTCTTTTATTTCGGTATTAGCATTTTCTTTAACTTTTTTTAGGTTAAAACTCTCTGAAGACTCTGATGTATCACGTGGAGATTCTTCTTGAGACTCATGGGAATCTTGACGTTCCAGCGCCTGTTCCGAAGAATTTGAGGAGTCTTTATCAATAATGTGATGAATTATTTCATCAACAACGGTATATTTATCAGCAATATTCTCTTCAGAGTCTTCATTGAAAGAAATTTTATGAATAATCTCACTTATTTCTTCTTTAACCTCTTCAGGATCTATCTGTTCTTCAGTGTTAGCTTCTTCTGGATGACTTTCAGCATAAACTTCAGGCTTACTTTCTTCCTCAAAAAGGTTTTCTAAGATTCCAAAATCGTCGTCATCTTTAATCTCAGAATCAGCTTCTTCTTTTATCACTATTCTTTCTGTTCCAATTCCATCTTCTTCCACAGAACTAATATCTTTTTTAATATCAACATCATCGACATTGCTATTATCTTCCACTTTACAAGCTACTTCACCAACAAAGTCGATTTCTTCCTTACCACCTCGCGTTCTTTCTTCATTATCGGCAATATCGGCTTCTTCATTACCAAGTGCAGCCTCTACTTCATTTTTAACATCATGCTGAGCATTTTCATTTCCATCAAATCGAGCTTGATCCTCCAAACTTTTAACAGCATTGACTTCAATACACGCTGAATCTATAACATTATCAACTAATCTATTAGCTTCAATCAAAGTAGCTCTTTCCTCCAATCCCTCAATAATTTCATTAACAGTAGTCTCAATATCTTTGTGAAACTCTCCTTCATCTTCAACTTTTATTTCTGGCAGTTCAAAATCAGCTGATTCATGAGTAACGTTAGCTTCCAGCTCAATAGAATTATCAAATAAATCAATTGTCTTGTTTAAGTCAACGACATTATCTTCTTTTTCTTCATCTTCAGCAATAGGATCGTCCCAAATATAGAAAGAATCATGATCAGTGGGTGACAAACTTTCTATCGGAGCAAGTATTAAGCACTGCGGGCATTTTTTACCGCAATAAATGTGCTCGTTACCTTCTTCGCCATCTTGAATTTCAGCCGTAGGAGTCAAACTGTAAATGACACTCATATGCGACGAATTTAGGTTGTATTTCATTGATGCGTCTGAACTTGGGAGATGGAAGTTCAACGATCGCATAGATTTAGAAGGAGTCAAATTGACATTAATACTGTCAATTACTTCAGTCATGCTGTCTTCACGTTGATATTTCTTCCCGCTGACAAGTGGCGAAGAAAACCTCCAGGGTTGACTGTCGTTCAACTCTTTGGCGAATGAAGATTCTAAACTATCCAACGGCTCATTGAACCACTCAAGATTGTCAATCAACTCGGGAGAAATCGATTCTGTTTCAGTTATCAAATTCTTCTCATTAGTTACAACACAATCCAAGTTCTTCTCAACTACTGTCTGAACACTAGCGACATCTTCGGAACTCGGTTCTTGATCAGAGACCAATTTTTCCCCTGAAGATGTCATACTCAGCGGATTAGCGACGTTCCCATTGACATCAGCTTCACTGACATTAACGTCTGCATTAACAAACTCGAAGCTGCCAGCTGTCGGTAAGCAATCTTTACTGACCTGGACATCTTTGATAGGCGTGCTTTCGTACTGCACTTCGCCAAACTGATAAAACGGCGACATGCTTATCGGACTGACCCGCAGATCAACAGGCACAGGTCGCAGTTCACATTCCTTCAAGTGACTCTCAGTCTCCACACAAGTTTCACTCAATAATTGTCGGTTCATGGCTTCTTCAACGAGTCGTGGGCTCTGCAGGTCTTGCAGTTTCAGGACTGGTAACGACAAGCGAGGAAGTTTACATACTGAACAGCTTGAAGAGGCCAATGGTACGTATGCTCGCTTACGTGATTTTATCAATCCAGTGTTGATGTTGATATTGTTTTCAGTATTGTCATTAATATTACGGCCAGTTAAAGCTAGAGATGAATATTTTGAAATAAGTTGCTTAACTGAACTTTGGCCTCGGTTGGTATTAATGAAATTCAGATTGACATTAGAAACGCTTTGACTAACTTGACTTGTTAAATTAGAATTTTTATATTGCGCGTACACTTTGTCGTATTGGTCAAAAAATATACGACGGCGATAAGATTTTATTCGGGAGTTTAAATTCGGGTAAGTGGATTTATACTTTGGAGATGAAACTCCAAAGATGTTTAAATTGTCCAGTGACTTAGACTGTGGGTTTAATGATTTTAGGGGTGTTAATGTTATTAATTTAGTCCTCTCAAGATGTATCTCTTCATGTGCATCAAGACGCCACCGACCGTAATCGCCGACTGGAATCTCCTCGTTACCCTCATCATTGCTCGATGCTTCATAATCTGTAAATTATATTGTCCAAAAAACTCCTAAAGCGACCGATTCTTTAACATTTACTGATTTTTATAACGATTTTACGTTGCCGTCGTCGTATTGATCACAAACCGCTCGCACCATTAATTTTATTACTTCTTAGAAACATTTTATTCATTCATTTATTTATCAATAACATTCATTAGATTGTTAGTCAATTGATTTTATTTAGTTGAGGAATTTAGTTATGGTCATTAAAAAAATCTAAAGGTAACAAGCGTGCACCTGGGTGCGAGCGTTTGGTGACAAGCAATGGATCTTTAAATAAGCGGATGATTAATATAAGTATTAAACAAATGAAAAAAAAAAAAAAAAAAAAATTATTTTAATTGTTTGATAAATGTAAATAGCACATAAAGCGAAATATGCACATGCATAAGCAATTCATATGAGCGTGAGAGTGATTATTTTTTTATTTTTTTGTGCATGCTTTTTCAACTCACCTCGTTTACTGCGATTATTCATGGGTTCAATAGCTGAACGCCGCATCTCGTTTAAAAATTCAGTCGTTGGGTCGACTATTAAAGAAGAAGATAAAAAAAAGAACATGCGATAAATTTTGAAATTTAAAAAAATTCGGGTTTTTATTGTTTGAGTTAATTTAAAAAATGGATTTTTGGTGTTAATAAATTTTAATTGATTTTTCGAAGTCAAAAATTCGATGTTGAATAAATTAGTGTAATTTTTTAAAGCAGGTAAAATTTTTTGAAAAATAATTTGCAATATTTATAAAACTAAATATCTTTTTTTTTACATTTAAATTTTCTTTATATTGAAAAATTACGAATTATTTTTTTTTTTAATTCTGTATCTCATATATTAAATTATTTGTGGATTTTAGGTAAGATTGTGGCTTACCTCCAATCTTTTGCCGATTTAAAGGAGCAATTTGAGATTGTGTAGTAACAGTTTGAGTCGAAAGATTCGATACCGTCACCGAATTGGAAGTGGATTTATCCGCATCATTTTCATGCTCATGCATTTTTCCTGATTTGTGCATTCGTTATCATGCATTAAGTTTTTATGATATTTAAATTTATCAAATGTTTAAGAATAAGTTTCATGCTTAAATAATGACAATAGTAATAATAATAAAATAACAACCAATTAAAAGTAAAAACTTACCGTCACTTAATACAACTTCTGCCTGACTTGGTTTAGGTACGCGTTTTGTTTCTATCCGCAGTACACGAGGTTCTAAAAATAAACAAATAAATTAATCAATAATTCTAATATTAGCTTATAAATCAAGTTATTTATTATTAAAAAATAATTTACCATCTCGACTTTCTTCTTCAGTTTCAGATGTCACAGAAATAGGTGATTGAATTGGAGATTTGGCAGTGCTTGATTCATGGGTCGCTCTACTAATATTAAATGACGATAATGCTTCTGATTCCGACTGCGATTCATCATCTGGTTAATTTAATGAGTTTGGAAAATAAAATATATATATATATATTTTATAAATAAATAAACTTAAAAATCGCTAAAAAAAAAACTTACATATATCTCCTTTAGTTTTACGTTCAACTTCTTTTTTGTACTGATCAAGTTCTTGATCAGTGATCGCGTCGAATGGATTTTTGGCGTACGGAGTTTTGTATACCATTGCATTGTGTTGGAAATTACGTTGGATAATACCTTTACTTGCTGCACCTACCAATACTACTTGTTCACCAGTGCCACTGATAGTTGCGTCCTGTTGAATAAAAAAAATTTTTTTTAAGAAAAAAAATGTTTATAATAATTAATTTCTTTAAAACATAAAAAAAATTTAGTGATATTTACCTGCATTTTTTTAGCTTCTTCCCACGAAACGCCTTCCAAAATATGTGACTGTGGTCCAGCTGATATTTTATCCGCTCTACGGTAGTCTTTAATCTATTTTAAAAAATCAGTTGTTAGTTATTAATTCGAAATAATTAAGAAAAACAATAGATAATAAATGAGAGATGAACTAACCTGCTGTTGAAGTTGTTTAAATTCTTTTGGATTAGTATTCTTGGGTACAAACTGTAACGCACTATCAATCCTTACTGGCGTACTGCTACTGTGTGTTGGTGATCCATCAGACACCCACTGAAGACAAAACCAGAATTGTTAAACGACCCAGTCGATTTTAACCACCAGCAATAGTAATAATAGTAGTAATAATAATAATAATTAAAAATTAAAAGTAAATTAAATAAGCATTTATAAGCCGGTTAAAAAAATGACTCGATTAAATGTGTGCCTGTCTCGTCAATGGCTATTGATATATACACTCACAAAAATAAAAACAAAAACACTCGATCATTATTTTTTTTTCTTGTTTTGGAAAAAAAATCTTAGAAAAGACAAAGGGTCGACAAATCTGGTTTTGTCAATCAGCTGATGTATACCCTGGCCACTGTCTGTATAATTACTTTTCAAATTACGATGACCAACAGGCACACATTCATTCAGAGTCATTGTCATATGATTAATTATTTAAATACTACAATGTTTTTATGATGATTTATTTTTGATAATTGATAAATCAATTAATTATCAATCGTGATAGAATTAATTGTTTTTTTTTTTTTAATGAACCCAATGTTTCCCAGTGAAATAAAAATAGTTATGAAAATGCTGAAAATAAATTTTATTGAGAATAAATAATTGGTGGCTGATCCTCATGCTCCGAAATGTTTTAACTAATTAATTAAAATTGTGAAAATGGACCCTAGCGATAGAAAAAAAGTTGCAGACTTATTTGAGAATAGTTAACATAAATAATAAATAATAAAAATAAGAAACGACTTAATCCAAATTCCGAGAATATTTTTCATTGGGATTTACCTCCTCTGCATTTTGATCCACCCACTAAATAAAAAACAAAGTCAAGAAAATAGTAATATTAGTTAACACGATTGACTTTAATCAATTAATTAACTAATTATAAAATATAAATAAAAAAAAAAATCCCGTCCTAATCTTTTTCACTTCACACTCACACGCATGTCCTGATTTTAATAATTTTATTTATAGTAAATTCTACTGGACTTAACTTTGAAAATTATTAAAAAAATATTTTTTTTCAAAGCCGTGTAACTTTATTTAAACATCGCAGCTACAGAAAGAAAAATGACAATCCATCTTATAAATATCGCTTTTTTAAAAAATAATATTTAATTCATGAAAAGCAAAAGCTTTTTTTTTTATTATTAATTCATAATAAACTAAATAAAATTTATTTTTGATTTTTATATTCTGGCACTAAATAAATGGCATTGCACATAATTTTTAAATATCTATCTATATAAATATAATAAAATAATTTGGAATGTAGATAGATAATAATAATACAAATATATATTTCCATTAAAAAAAAAAAAAAAAAAATTAATTTTATGGAATGTAAAAATTAATTTTATAAATTTACTTTTCATGATTTGATAAAAAGTGCAATTATATTTATATATATATATATATTTATAATTATTAAGCATCGCTTTGTTCAAGCATCAAATACATACGATTACTGCGTTTAGTTATAATAATCTCATTAGTAAAAACATGTAGACATTTCAATAGATTATTATATCAAAGCGTAACACATAGTAATAATATTTCAATATATATTTTTAATTGAAAAGTTTTGTTATTCGTTTTATAAAATTTTTTTCTTAGATTTTCTTTATGAACAATCTGAATTTAGTTAATTACTATTTTTTATTATTATATAAATTTATCATTACTGAAGAGAAATACTTTTTAGATGATATATTTTTAATTTTTATAACATTGAGAAAAATCTCATTAAATATTATTTACGATGATTAATGACTCTCTATTTTTAACTACGAATTTTATTTAACCATGCCTGTAAACTTGATAACTTTATTATTGAGGCACAGACAAGATTACTCGGTACTTTTTAATAATTTGATTCAAGTTGACTAGTGTTTTTTCATAGTTATGAATTATTATTTTCACAAAATAATTGATTGATTCGGTAAGAAAAAATTCTAATAAAAAAAAAAAGATGACCTAAACTAAACGAAAATAAATTTTCCACTTTTCTTATGCTTATAAATAAGTAAAGTGTAAAATATATATAATTGTATCGTATTATTTGAAGATTATTAATCAATAGGGAATGTTTTTTGTTTTTTTTTAAATCATCAAATAACTACTCGATTTTATTTTCAAAAGTAATAACTTCTACCTTTGTTATTTTCTTAGGATCTGGCGTTCCGGTCTCGAGTATTTCCACTTTTTGATAAACATTCGGTGAATTTAACCAACGTGATCTGTCAGCACCTTTACGTCCTCCTTTCCATAATCTGTAATTACAAACAAATAACCAAAAATAAATAATAATAAAATTAATGATTGTATGATTTAAAAAAAATTTTCAAAGGGCTTAACAATTATAGTAAAATAAATTAATGGTAAATAAGATAAACTTTAATTAAGGAAAAATGTATACCCTTGTTTATAAAGTTCTTCTTCTTCCAATAAGTAACCAAGTGAAGAAACAGCTGGTGGTACTTCAACATCGTTACGTGGTCTAGGTGGCTCACTTTTAATTAATGGATGTCGGTAAATATAACCAGTACGGAAACCCTAAAATAAAAAATAAAAATAATTCAAATAAATTCTCAACAAAATTAATAAATCAAAAAGAACCAACAATACTTGTTTATAAAAATACTCACGGCATTGTCAAGCATCCTCATAAGCGCTTCAAACTCAGAGCTACCGATTCTCCAGCGTTTTTCCAATTTTTCAGCCAATGGCGAAGGTTCAATGATACTGGAAGTATGTGGGATCGGTGGTTTTCTCGAGGCTTCGTAAATAGATTTTTTGGATTCCTCCGACAGTAAGTTTAAGTTTTCAACTCCCATGGGCATCAACTTCAACTGGGTCTCGCAAGCAAGAACAGTATTGTAGACATTGTAAAAGGCTTCTTCAATAGTCTCACCGCAACACAAAGCACCGCGGTTGGTCAAAAGCATTACTTTATTAATAGGTCCGAGATTGCGGGATATCTTCTCGCGCTCTTCTGGTTCAACAGTCTCGCCGATGTACTGGTGAATCGAGACATCGCCGATCACGATGCTCTCGGGGCCGATTGGTAAGAGGCCGCATTTTAAGGAAGACACTGCTGTTACTGTTGGCGTTGTTATATGTATAATACACTTAATGTCTGGACGAGCAGCATGGATCGTCGAGTGCAATTGAAATTCAGCTACATGCACTCCAAAATTAGTCGTTCCCTGCTCGACTACCTGCCCTTGCATGTCGACTTTAACTAATGACGATGCCGTTATCTCGTGGTAGAGCAGCCCGAATGGGTTTACTAAAAAATGCTCCTCGTCGGCGTTTAATCGGGCTGTTATCTGTCCAGCCAGACCCTGGGTCCATCCGTACAAATCTAGTAGTCTAAATACAGCCGCTAATTTGCAACGTAGTAATTTTTCTCCGCGTTCATAACCCTTCGCTTCAACACCACGGATGTCGTTTATAGGCACCACACAATTTGAATCTGAAATTTTTTTAATTCTTGTATTAATTCAAGTTTTTTATTATTTTTATAATTAATATCAAAACTTATTTATAGTTCATGTATGTGGTACTAGAGTGTAGAAAAATAATCGACAAATTTATAAAAAAATACATTAGTAATCTGGTATGGCAAATTAGGTTATTTTATAATGTATGTAAATAATATTTTAGTAACTGAGTTAGCATTTTAAATTTATAATTTAAAAATTTTTTGTGTTTCTTTTTAAATACGTAAATCATAATTTTAAAAAAAAAAAAAAATAATTATCCATATCAACTCTTATTTTTTAAATCATAAAAACAACTTTTTTTTACCAATGAGTCAATTATAAAGATAAAACACATGAATCTTCAAGATTAAAATAAAATCATTGTCTTGTTGTTCATATCCATAATTAATCAATAAAATAACAATTCACAGTTTGTTGGAAATATTTATGAAAATTTAAATAAATATTTCCATCAAACTGTGAATTGTTATTTTATTGATTAAAATAAAAAACTACAAAAATATAAATAATCAATAATTGAAAAAAATTGTTCAGTCGCTAAAATTTTAACTTGAACATTTAGTAATTCTCTTCAAGCATAAAGTAAATCATTTTCAACTATAATATTTGTACGTACATATAATAAAAATTAAAATTAAAATTAGTCATATCAATGGTAAAATAAGAAATCTAAAAAATTACTTTTGAACACATTAGCATTAAAACGAGCACCCTGTGCACCCATCATCTCCGTAATCTGTTGCAACAATCCGCAAGGTCCAGATCCGTCCTTCAATTGTGTCTCAATAATGCGCTCTAACTCTTCTTTGAACATCTTCGAGTTCATTATTATTTCTACACGCTTCCTTCGCTCCATTTCTCGCATATCCTGCAAAATAAAAATAAACTTAATACAATAATTCTTCTAACATATGAAAATATAAAATAATCTTTAAACTGTTTTCTTGTAATATTAATACAATCACAAGTAACAGTTCAATACTTACGGCATCAATATCCGCTGGTCTCATTTTACTTTTTTCTTCTTCTGTAAGACCGTCTATCACTCCATTTGTGTGAGGCTCGGAGAGCTCATGCTGACTCGTGTCCGCCATCCTCGGGCCTCTTTCAGTTAGCAGCGCCTGAAAATTTATTAAAAATTAATAATTATCATCAAAAGAAATAAAAATTAATGCAACAAATATTAATGTTTTATTCTATAAATTTCAATTCATCCATTTTATTTTTGCTAACCTCATTTAACTCATAATCTAAAATGCAATTTGATTTTTTAACAACTGCTTTCATGAATGCTTGGTTAATGGTGTTAACAATAAATGCTGTATGTAACATTTTTTAATTTAAATTTTCAAATGAAAAAATGCGAAAATTCATTAAAAAAAAAATTTCGTAAGTAAAAAATAAAATTATATTTTTAAAATGATAAACTGCAAGAGAAATTTTGTTTTAATTACATAATTTTTTAACACATTTAATTACTTCACGCTAATAAATAGCGATAAAATAGTTTAGTACGAGTTTCTTACATTACAAAAGCCTTTAGGAGACTAACACACTAGTTTTAACCGATAAGGAGGTCTCTGGCATCTAATACTTCAGTTACATCACAGAACGCGGCTATATACTAACTTACAACTCACAACTTTAGTTTGCGCATTAAATTTGTCGCAGCCTTACTTGACTCATACTGATCCCGATCGCTTCAATAACGTTCAACTTGAGTCGAATAATAATAATGATTATCGTTTTATAATTAAATATACTCATAATGGCGGGTCATTAAATTATTAGATACATAGCATACATAACACGTGTTGCTGATGATTACCAACTAAAAATTAACAATTAACTGTTAATTGATGTAGTTTATTTTCTGATCATTTTTTTAATAGAATAGATTAAAAGTTCTAGATTTTTTTATAGCAAAAATGTTTATCTTAATCACTAGCTTCTTATCAGTTGAATAAATATGACATTGTTTGATAGTAGTATCAAGGATTTGTGCTTACGGTTTATTTTAGACTGCATTAATTATTATTTTTATTGTTAATACATCACTGATTAAAATTCTTTATTATTTACATTAAAATTCAAATAAGTTGTCCATTATTGTATTATAATTAGGAAAAAACTTGTTGAAATTTCTGCACGCATCAAGATTTTTCTCCTGCAGCTTCAAATTTTATTTTTCAAATTTTTTTTTTTTTTTTTTTAATAAATAAAATTATTAATATATAAGAAATCTTTTAATCTTTACCAAAAAATTAATAAATTAATCTTACACCTGTCACTTTGATGAGAATAAAAAAAAATTCTTTTCTATCTTAGCAATTGTAAATGATAATCAGAACCTTATCTTGAACAAGTTAGAGTGAATAAATAGATATTATAATTCAAAATTACTTTTTTTTTTTTCATTTTTAGGGACTGTTGAACTTTTTTAAAAAAATTACTTTAGCGCGTCAAAATATTTGTAAATTAATAAAAATTTTCTATTTTAAATTTAAAAGCTTTATAAAAATTTTGTTTGAAAAATTTTCTATAAATAATCATCGCCTTCGCTTCAAAGTAGACTTTCTTTTGACTTATTTAGTTAATAGAAACTTTGAAGATTTCTCTTGAATGCAAAATTAACAAAAAGTAAACAATTTCTAAATTATTATATACAATATTTGTCAAAGAATATTTTTTGTCAAATGGCTAGATGTCTTTTTGTTCTTTACCAAAAGTAAAAAAAATATTTTAGATTTTATTCTATTGCTGGCAGTCTAGCTGGCCTTTTTCAGAAAACTCAAACATTACCTAAAATATTTAATAGAATAGTTCAATAATTTTTAGATATTTTTAATAGTGGAAAAAAAATTATTTTTAAATATTTTTATAACACTCTAAAATCTAAATTTAGTATTTTTACGAATATTTTATACAGACAGTAACTGTTGAGCAGTGTGTAGTACAGTGAATGACCTTTATCATAATTGACCATTTAAAAATGACGTCACTTTACTCATCGATTATGCAATAAAATAAAAATAAAGATGAAAATAGAAAGATTTTTTTTATTACTCTAGATTGATATCGGGATCAATTAATCCATTAGGTAATTAGTGGTTATTAAATTGTAAATAGTATTTCAAGATTTCCGATGCTGATGTTATCAAGTTGATTAATTAATGAAAATTAATGGTCGTAATTGTAATATAAGTAGATGAAGTCTTAGGTATTATATGGATAATTGATTAATCGATTTGAGTGAAGCATCAATTACACAGTGTGTTGTCAACCCTAGAGGATTACGAAGGCAAGTGGATGATGGTGGATTTAGATCAGATGGTTTTTATACTCAAGGCAATGTTCTCGTACCTACGCATTTACTCTCTTACGGGTTCGTACGTAAATAGGGCAGTTCATTATTACGGTGTCGGACTAATAATACATGCATCTATACATATATACATGTACCAAACGTGCCACGCCTATTCTGTATTATTTTTGTCAAATTATTCTTTTTATTCTCACTCTTATCAGAAAATTAATTACCAGTGAGAAAATTACACGCATTAATTTTGTAAGTTTCTAAATGTGCATTTTAAACATTTTTTTAATAACAACAATAATTATTATTATCTTAAAAATTTTATTATCTAAAATATAAAATAGGTTTTTTAAAATTAAATTTAGTGTCATTGGAAAGCTCTTGACCTGAATTTATGACTTTTCTAGGTTCCTTATGGTTTTCAACAATAATTAATTTATTGTGATAAGCTATTGGAGTCATAAATAGATTCGAATTCCATGTTAGATAATAGTATATTATACATCTAGGGCAGTAAAGTAAAAAATGTCTCAGATCACATGTAATTGTTATCCGAAGCGAAGTCGAGGTCAATAAAATTGTGATTTGAGGCTTTCTTATTTACTTATTTTTATTCTGTTCATTTGAATATTGTTATATGTCAAATTTTCATCCATACAATTCAAGAAAAATAACAAAAATTTTGTGATGGGGATATTTTTATTATAAAATGTCTATCCGAATTTGTCTTTTCGCAGTTCGATATTTTTTTCAGCGATAGTCAATTTATCATCTAAATAATTAAAAGAATAAGCAAAATTTTGTTAGCATATTTTTATTTTAAAGGGAATTTTTATAAATAAACTTAGTATTATCAGAAAATTTTGTATATTTTTTGGTGACAAGTAGTTTTTTATATCGAATTTTTGAAAGAGTTTTGAATAGTCTTTTAGTTCTGAAAGTTTGTTTCGTCACATCTGTCTTTTAAATTATTAGTAATTGATCCTGTGATAAAAAATCATTAAGCGCAATTTTTATTTATTCATAATTCTTAATTTTCTGCATTTACATAGTTACTGCAGGTTATTATTATTATTATTATTATTATTATTATTATTATTATTATTATTATTTAAAAACCAGATAAACAACTGTCTAATGACATCAACAAACAAATAGATTTTAAAATAAAATAGTAATTTATATTTTTTTGCATAGGTCAGTATGTCGATGGGTCTGGCGTATCCGGGATAACATTGAATTCTCTTTATAAAAAATTAAGCCTGTGCAACTGGAAACTGAATGGATCAATAGAGATAAGACCATCCTAGCACGTGTCGTCACTACAAGTGTATACATCAATTCACCAGCTTTGTCAATTCATTTTTTACATACAAACACAAAACACGGTTTGGCTGGGTAAAATGTAAACTAGTATAGTGTATTGCAGTACTATCACATACATCCATAGATATAGACGTAAATATAGGTACTTTATTTATACTAAGTGCGTGGCATCGCTTCCACGAAAAGCAACCCTTGTTTCCTAGAACTTCTACCCTCAAATATTTTTTACCCTCAGTACTCGACTCTGTTTCCCCGTTGCGAAAGCTTTTTACTTTCGCTTGTCGACCTTGCGGCGCCAGTCTGGTTTTTTTAAAACAATCTTCAAAAAAATTACATTATAATGCACTTTCATCGAATTAATTTAATATTTTTGTACAGAATAAATAAAAAAATTATCAAGACATGTACAAGAATAATCGTTATGTCAGATGTCATTTAAATAATAAGACATACGTCACATGCATTTACAAGTAATTTAAATAAATAATTACAAGACACAGTGACATAATGACCAGTTAATTACTTCGTCTTCGATATCGACGGTGACGATAAAAATAAAATAACACGGGGTCGATGATCTTTCCAGACAGCGTAGGCTTATCGTCTCCTATAATTTTTTCTAAGCCACGTAAAATAAACTTTCAATAAAAATATAAATACTTTAATGTCATGATGAGAGTTGCAAATTATTTTATTTATATTATCATCCATTTTTAAAAGCTTTTATTAAATTTTTATTAATTAAAAATACGTTCATTAAATATCTTAAATTAATAATTGAATAAAAAATTATCAATCAAGTCAATTTTTTTGATGAATTTTATAAAAAATATCTTTCTTAATATAATATTATGTACAAGTATTTTTGTAATCAAATATTTTAAATTATAAAATGAATTGAATTAATAGACAATAAACATTCGTATGGATTCCATTAGATTCAATCTACTTTTCTGTGGTGTAATAATACAATTTATCTAGGTCAGTTTGTCTAAGACGTGTTAATATTACATATAAACAATGAATCAATTTACTTCTTAATGCACGTGCAACATGTATCCAGAAAATATAAACACCAAATGTTTATTAAGAAAATACTTTTTCTTGAATTTGATTTAAATTCAACTGAATATAAATTTTCATAGGAAAAAAATTAATTACAATGATATTCACAGCAGAAGAAATCTGAATACGTTTTATAGAGAACAGAAGAATAAATAAAAATATTTGAATTGATGATAAAATATATACAGCGTGTATGTGAATCCAAAAAAATGCAGCTCAGGATTTGAATTGCAGTGAAGAATATGATAGGGTAAAGTAAAGGGCGAGGATTAAAAAGGGTGCAAGTTTGTTGGAACAACTGAAGCCACAGTTTGTTAATTAATTTTATTCTATTCCGTTTCTGTAATATTCTCGGCGTCTTTATTTTTTTTATTAAATCAACTCTTCTTTCTTTCACTTTTCTTTTTTTATAACTTTTACTTTTTACTTTTATTGTTTGTTTTTTTAAATAAATAATTAAATCCTTTTCACTTTGCGCAATTAGAGGAAATTCTTTTATTGTTAATGTGAATAAATAGAAATATAAAAAAAAAATAGGATATTGCGCTTGGGTAACCGTGAAAAAGATATGTACATATAAATGACTACTTTTAATGGTTTATGCATTTAATATTGTTAGTTTTAA